TATGTTGATTTCAACATAAGTTCTACTTCTGTCTGCCACTGCCTCCGCCACCGCTTTGTAAACGCCTGTTGTAAACACACGCGTTGTGTTGCTTTTGTAGCCTGTGTTTTTGTGTTGTGTAAACTCTGGTCTGTATTGTGTCGGATAAGTTACAAAAATGTCACGAAATGGTCGCCTCAAGGCAGACGGTTGCCATTCTCTTTGTGGCAGCCTTAGGGAAACGAGTACCTATTTTCAGAGCTTTTGTGCGATTTGCAGTGGATGAGAGCTAGTGTGATGTACTTTGTAGTGTTCATGATCTGGAAGGTCGACCCGTGTGGCGTTGTCGGAGACAATACAGACACCTTTTCGATTTATTCTGTTTGTTTGAATCAAATTGGTTACCTTCTCGTGCAGCTCGACTTTCCAGTGCACACTGCAGCTCTCCTGTTTCGGGTTTTCAATTTTTATTTTATGTCTATGGTTTTTAGGATTCCATGTTATGTTTTGACGTGATCGTCAGGATGGACGGGCTATTTTTCCTTTTCTTTTTTAGTCCGGTAGTATGTATTAGTGCGAGTTTTGGTTGGTGCGTTTGGTGGTGTTTCACCCCATGTTCGCAGTCTCGAGCCGGACGACGAAGACTCCAACGTCGTCCGACCAAATACATAGCGTTCGATAACCGCGGCCCAGCCCCCGCCGGCCTCGAATGGGATTGGCCGGACGGCGTAGAATCTTTGGTGTCCGGTCATGGATGAAGGAGAACCTGGATTGGAAACTAACAGCTGATTGCGTTCCCTTCGGTAAGTGCCCGAGGGCACGTGCGGCGGCAGCAGGAGCCGCGTCTGCCGCGCATTCACTGGCGCCGCGTAAGCGTTCACCGGCGCCGCGTAAGAGAAAAACACTAGAAATGACCCTCTTTTTCAAGGTCGTCTGTATTCGGCCCTCGTGTACGACTTTTGTGCGGAACGGACAATAATAGTTTTGGTCTCATTCGATAGCCTGATCAATTTTGTCTGTCGTAAATAGCTTCTAAACCTAAAAATAAATCCGCATTGCGGTCTAATGCCCGTTTCAAAACATGCCGCCCCGCGTCCCCCATAGGCCGTAATGCTTAAAGGGACCCTCCCACCTTCAAAAAAGTTTATAAATTGGCATGAAAGTGATGTCGCTCGGTTCAGAAAGAGCAAAAACGAATATCTACCAAATTTCACCGAAAAATATTCACCGGTTTTCAAGATATTAGACTTTTACTTTTGTTTACTTTTTTGGGATCTCCGCTGTTTCTAGCGACTTTATTTTAGAAGTGCGGCGTTTGCGGCAAATCAGTAGGCGGAACTATGGTCAAGCGTACCCATTTTCGGGAACGCATTTTCGTTCCCATGTTTGGGAACGATAAACCCAAATATGGGAACGCCATGTAGGCATTATTTAAAACAAGAAAAAGAGCTGTTAAATGACGTCCAAAAAATATAAAACGATCGTGAACCGCCTGATAGTTGTCTCAATATTGTTGGGAAAGAGTTTGATATTGTAAGGCCCATCGTAGTTTCAAATCGTTCCCCTATTTCTCAAGCAGTCCATCACCCGGGCCCCGAGCCCAAATTTGGGAACGCTCTCGTACACTGGCGCTGCAAGCGTTCCTTATTATGGGAACGGCGTACCCAAAATTGGGAACGATTTCACCGACGCCTTTCAGGGGCTCTTTTCATTAACAAGCATCACGTCCAACGCCGCAAATTATTGTTAACGCAACAATCATCAGATGACCTTTCCGGCAAGACCGTTGCATGTTTCGCCCGGTCTTCTGCGCTTTTATTCCCGTCGATCTCGCAGCGGACACGCCCCCCTCTGCAGGATTACGTAATTCACAACGCTCAGCGATGTTCAACAAGGTCTTCCATACCTATATCCACCGTCCGCGCCCAGGGTGGAGACATGTCAAGCACTTGTCTGCTAATCACCGAGAGTTGACGAGCACAAGAAGTATCCAAAAATGGGAACGCTGAATATGTTACACCCTCAAAACACCTAGTCCCAATGAAAATCTAGTTTTTTCCTTTCTTAATGAGTGTAAGTGGCAAAAGGCCTGGTAGGATGGGCACGAGGTATGATCGAAATCAGCATAAAAATTATAAATCAGCCACACAGAGCGACCTATATCAGAGAAATTCCCCCCCAAACGATCATGCTTAGAAACGCCGAAGACAAAAACCACGCTCATGACGCTGCTTATAAAACAACGCTAAACAGCTAGCATCCAAATAAAATATGTCTTTCAGGGCTGATAAAATACAACTGAATGATTTTAAACCACTGAAACTGAGTTTACAACAGTAGTTCGGTAAAATCACTGACGTTCCACGCGGTCGATCGCCCCGACACCAAAAGTCAACGGACGCCATTTAATTGCGTCCCAGAAAAGCTATTTCTGGCACCTAAAAGCTGACTCGCTCCAAAATTGGTCCTCAGCACCTATTTGGTGGATACCAGCACCAATCATGGAAAATGACCTTAATTAGCTGTTTCTGGCACCTATTCATCGGTACGCCTTACTCTTTTTTCTGAATATGGCACCTAAATGCTGAGTGTAGCACCAATCTAGTAGAAAAATGAACTACTGGCTGGTAGAATCATGTTGTTCTGGTATAATGACCCCTGGAGTCTAGTCTAAAGGTTGCCAGTGCAGCTACACTCTAAGACAGCCCCGTTGTGATCTCAGCATTGTATATGACGTTTAAGTAAGCAAATAATATTGATTTGTTTGAAAAAACAATGTCATTTAAATATTTAAAAGCATTTATTTGTAATGCTTAAAGGGAAACATTTTTGTGAGTAATTGTCTCAATTTTGACCATTAAAACGGGTATTGTATTTTTTGACGTCATCAAATAGCTCCAAAAAAGAAATGTTATGTTTTCATTCTGTTCAAGGCCGCTGAAGAAACGCGGGATCTTGCGTGGGACATTGTCCGTTGTTTGCCGCGCAGAGTTGTGCCGTGGTTGTGCCTTTTTCATCCGTTTCTTACTTATGTCATTTGTGTGCATGAAGCTTTGATTTTGTTTTTGGTTATTGTGTGGCCGGTCAGTCAAACGCCCCTGTAGAAACCGGATGTTGCGTTTGATCGAGATGGAGTCAGACGATGATTGCAGAAAGCTAATAATATTGAAAAGAGGGCCGGTTGCGTGGCATGTCTGTTCAGAGTTTACATTTTGCTTTACTCCAGTTTATGACCTGAGAGCCTGGCTGGAAGTGACGGATCCAAACTTTTCACGTTAAAATGGCTGAGGGTGCAATAATCTCTAGTCTCTACATAGCAGGCTGGTATAGGAGCGTCTTGCTATGCTGCACCATAGCTGGCTAGTGATTCTCTTTTGGCTAGAAATGGCATTAATCATTATCTCCACTGGCGAAAATGGCACTTGACATCACCGAATGCAACGTTCATGTTTGTTAGGATACATAAAATCAGGAAGATTACGCGAATTAGGTAGGCAAACGTGGAATAAAATAGGTGCTGGAAGTTTTGGTTTTGGTGCTGAATCAGCAAACAGCAAATACGGAGTTCAACTAGACGATCTGGCAACTTTAGGCTGTGTGGAAGCAATTAGGTGCCAGATTCAGATATTAGGGTCGAATAAGCATTTTGGGGCTGATCAGCAATTAGGTGCCAGAAACAGCTTTTTAGGGACCAGAAACAAATATTCCCCAAAGTCAACAATAGACGCGTTTACATAGGGTTTGTTGCAAGCTTATATCTCCGTCCGTGATGTTGCAAAAGATGCTTATGGTGCTTAACAATTTACAAAATGATCCCCTCTAAATATCTGAAGACCACTGCATCGAAATTATCGCCACATTAACGAGCTAGAGCCTCGTCAAATATGCTATGTAAACCGGGTTAATATTACCTCGGGACTGTCCGCGTGTTCGCTTGCATATAACCCGGTTTACATAGCATTTTTGACGAGGCTCTAGCTCGTTAATTTGGCGATAATTTCGATGCAGTGGTCTTCAAATATTTAGAGGGGATCATTTTGTAAATTGTTAAGCACAATTGGCATCTTTTGCAACATCACGGACGGAGATATAAGCTTGCAACAAACCCTATGTAAACCGGTCTTATGTCAGCATCTGGTGTCGCTAGAATGAAACTTCATAACCAGGCGAAAATTATTATACTTGACCTCAAAATGTAAAAAATGCTTCATTTTCCTTAAAATTGCATGTTAAATGTCGTATAACCCATATTTCCACCATTCTGTCATTTTTAAAAAATCATTAAAAATATCATTCCACGGTCAATTTCCTTGTTCCACGGTCAGATTAAAGATAACTTTATGGAGATTTAGTAGATACTTAAATCAGCGTGCACTTTTTTGAGACGTGATGCACTTTTGAGTTTTAGTGGGCGAACGGCCGAAAAATTGCCTTCCGTTCTCATAAATGGGAACGCCCGTTCCCATATTTGGGAACTCCGTTCCCAAAAATGGGAACGTTCCTATATTTGGGTACTCATGACCATAGTTCCGCCTACTGAAATGTTGCGCGCAAATAGCATATACCACCGCGTGCTACAAAACGTTTTAGTCAAACATTTAAAAATCGTGAGATATTTGCGCTGACGTCACACATTCAGAGGGGTATTCCTAAGCATTAGCCCCTCTGAATCAAAATGCTGCAATTTTGAAATTCAATATTTCCGATTTAAGGCATTTCTCGATGTTGTGAGTGCCGAAACCGGTAATTGTGAGCCAGGGACCCCATTTTGGCTATCTCAACTCAAATCTAATGTTAAGGTGGGAGGGTCCAGTCCCGATACTTACCGAACGCTAGGTGGCAGGTCGATCGCCCGGAACGCTGCCCGTAATGTTGAAGGAATAGGAGTTTCCTATCCAGGTTCTTTCATCCATGGTCCGGTCAAAAGGGAGTCTTATTTTTTTGCAGTACTTTAGTTGTCTCATGCTTCTAAAACTAGCAACCTTACTGCCGGCAAACGAGACGCGTGAGACGTTTGTGGTGCCGGCCAAGGCCATCTATAGAGGTGCCGGCGTCGCGAGTCGTAAAAATATTTTTATTTGCGATACATTCTTAAAGTTCAAGTGAATTTCAAGTGAAGGTACGGATTTTAGTCGATCAGTTCTGCTATCAAGGAAAATTTCATTGCAAACATCTAATTGTTCTCACCGTTTTGATCTTATTAACTATGATTTTGCTGATTCTGGCTCTCCCAAAATATGCCTTCTTTTTTCCTTTTTTTATTTTACGCAGATATATGTAATTCAATCAAGACACAGCTACATTCTTCAGCAGTGATCAGGTTTCAAGACATTTAATTTAAAAAGTTTGGAAGTGCCTACTCTGATATTATTAACACGACATTTTATGCTGACGTGGATGTTACTGGGTGGCTGGGATAGACTGTCAGATGGCACTGATTTAATTTAATTGGACTGCTGATGATCAGGCATCTCGTCTCTGCTTTTTCCACACTCCATTTCACTGTGCGCTCAAGTCGGCAGATTCATTGCCTTGATTGTTCCCACGAATCCAGGGGCGCGTTAACTACTTTCCGACTGGGGGGGGGGGGGGGCACACCATAATAGAGATTAACCTAGGGTACCCCCAAATCTAGTTTTCTCACCAGTTTTAGGCCATTTATTTTTCACCCCTCGGCTTTTTCAACAAAAAAAAAACATTTGCAAAAAAAGTGTGGTATTCCGTCTCAAAGCTGTGGGGGCACCGCCCCCACGGCCCCAGAGTTGGGGGGGGGCAAGCTGCCCCCACTGCCCCCCGGCTCCCGCGCCTATGCACGAATCACCATCATTTCACATTTGTCCATTCCGTTTCCAGGGAAAGAGGAGGTGACGGGTGACAAACCATGTCACAGTATGGGGGCAATAAGAGCGCTCCGCCACCCTGGGCCCAGACGCCGGGGATGCTGCAACGGCCCGGTGAGTACCTACCTACCTTGGCTCTTCATGCAAACTCACAATGCTGAACTTCATCCTTTGTGGGTCTGTGACAATCAGGTTGAAAAGGCCTGAAGGATTGGAGCACTCAAGGAGCCGATTACTTCCATTGTCTCAGTAGACGGAACTATGGTCAAGCGTACCCATTTTCGGGAACGCATTTTCGTTCCCATATTTGGGAACGATAAACCCAAATATGGGAACGCCATGTGTAGGCATTATTTAAAAAAAAAAAGAACCGTTAAATGACGTCCAACAAATATAAAACGATCGTGAACCACCTGATATTTGTCTCAATATTGTTGGGAAAGAGTTTTATATTGTAAGGCCCTTCGTAGTTTCAAATCGTTCCCCTATTTCTAAAGCAGTCCATCATCCGGGCCGCGAGCCCAAATTTGGGAACGCTCTCGTACACTGGCGCTGCAAGCATTCCTTATTATGGGAACGGCGTACCCAAAATTGGGAACGATTTCACCGACGCCTTTCAGGGGTTCTTTTCATTAACAAGCATCACGTCCAACGCCGCAAATTATTGTTAACGCAACAATCATCAGATGACCTTTCCGGCAAGACCGTCGCATGTTTCGCCCGGTCTTCTGCGCTTTTATTCCCGTCGATCTCGCAGCGGACACGCCCCCCTCTGCAGGATTACGTAATTCACAACGCTCAGCGATGTTCAACAAGGTCTTCCATACCTATATCCACCGTCCGCGCCGAGGGTGGAGACATGTCAAGCACCTGTCTGTTTATCACCGATAGTTGACGAGCACAAGGAAGTATCCAAAAATGGGAACGCTGAATATGTTACACCCTCAAAACACCTAGTCCCAATGAAAATCTAGTTTTTTCCTTTCTTGATGAGTGTAAGTGGCAAAAGTCCTGGTAGGATGGGCACGAGGAATGATCGAAATCAGCTTAAAAATTATAAATAAGCCACACAGAGCGACCTATATAAGAGAAATTCCCCCAAAACGATCACGCTTAGAAACACGGAAGACAAAAACCACGCTCATGACGCTCCTTATAAAACAACTCTAAACAGCTAGCATCCAAATAAAATATATCTATCTGGGATGATATAATACAGCTGAATGATTTTAAACCACTGAAATTGAGTTTACAACAGTAGTTCGGTAAAATCACTGACGTTCCATGCGGTCGTGCGCCCCGACACCAAATGTCACCAATATTACCCCCGGACTGTCCGCGTGTTCGCTTGCATATGTCAGCATCTGGTGTCGCTAGTATGAAACTTCATAACCAGGCGAAAATTATTATGCTTGACCTCAAAATGTAAAAAACGCTTCATTTTCCTTAAAATTGCAAGTTAAATGTAGTATAACCCATGTTTTCACCATTCCGTCATTTCAAAAATTCATTAAAAATATCATTCGACGGTCAATTTCCTTGTGCAACGGTCAGATTAAAGATAATTTTATAGAGACATAGTAGATACTTAAATTAGCGTGCACTTTTTTGATACGTGATGCACTAATGAGTTTTAGTGGGCGAACGGCCGAAAAATTACCTTCCGTTCCCATAAATGGGAACGCCCGTTCCCATAGTTGGGAACTCCGTTCCCAAAAATGGGAACGTTCCTATATTTGGGTACTCATGACCATAGTTCCGCCTACTGGTCTGTGATCCATGACTGGCCACTGATCCTCCTGGGAGTCTGGGACCAGACATCTTTACTATCCCTCACCTATGTAATCCATGATCTTGACCTCCCCTGACCCCACCTGACCTCCTCTGACCTTTGACCCACCCTTGACCTCCATGACCTGTTTTGCAGCGTACTCAGAGTCGGGCAGTACATCAATCCGTGCCTCTCCAATCGCCTATCAGAGTAAGTCTTTTCTAGTCTTACCCTGTGATTATCAGTAGCATTATAACCAGAGCCCTGTAGCCATTTAGTCTAACATTATCAGAGCCCTGTTGCCATTTATTTAGTCTTACCCTGTGGTTACCCTTCCTATCCTGGTTGTGTAAGTCATCTATAAGAGTAATGCTATCACAGTTCTGTCAACATCCCATTAGTCCTACTCTTTGATTACCCTGGCTATCTCGGTAGTTGTGGCCTATCAGGGTAATGCTATCACAGTTCTATCACCATCTCATTAGTCCCTTTGGTTACCCTGGCTATCCCAGTAGTGTGTGGCCTATCAGGGTAATGCTATCACAGTTCTGTCACGATCTCATTAGTCCCTTTGGTTACCCTGGCTATCCCGGTAGTGTCTGGCCTATCAGGGTAATGCTATCACAGTTCTGTCACCATCTCATTTGTCCCTTTAGTTACCCTGGCTATCCCAGTAGTATATGTCGTCTTTCAGGGCAAGTCCTACAGCCCAAGGCCAAGCCGCCTTTATATATCACATCCACGAGCATTGATATTGCAAGTAGTAACTAGTATCTATCTAATTTGTCTCTTCTGCGACAATATTAGTGACCGAATGTGCAAGTTAGTAAAATGCCTTGCTGGTGTCGAGCACAAGAGTATAAATCACACTAAATGCACCCATCCACCATCAGTGCAAACTGCAAACCCATGAGGCACTACGTTTCATAAATTTAGGTGGAATGTTGGAATGAACGGATTGACAGAGCCTGTGCCGACGCTTAGCAAAGCTTGTTGCGTAAGCTCTGACCCGGTACTGTATGATTATGCAATTCTGGTAATCGAATTTAGATGCCAAATTTAACTTGCTATTCAAAGCCGGACACGGCCTGTCCCACTCAACTGACTTCAACTGGCTGCGACTGCTCCCACCAACCACAGACCATCCCCGTCAGGAGTTTCATATGTCGAGCGCCGGAGCGTCTCGAACACGGCCTTTCACGACCGGACTCTGCATAACGGCGGAGTGTGTTGATACTTGATACTAATTGACATTTTGTTGTTGCCATGTTTGTTGGAGTTTGTGTTCCTTTACTATGTGTTTGTCGTTTTTCTGACAATGAGCGATCTGTGTCTGTATTCACTGAGTCACTCAACTCGGCAGCCTCCGGGCAACAGATCACTTGTTTTGCCTTAGTTGATGTCTGTGTGTCACTGTCTGTAATGTGTTTGTGTTTGACAAAACTGGTAGGTTTGTGTCTGCTTATATCTATGTCTGTATCTGTCATCTCTATCTTCATGGCTATCTGTTATTATAATAGCTACATGTTAAATTTAGCCGGTCCCGTAGCTCAGTTGGTAGAGCGTTGGACTCCGCGTGGTGAGAGCACGCGTTCCCGGTTATAACAGTCCGGGTTCGAAGCGCGACGGGCGCTCGACATTTATGGGCCTCCTGACAGGTATGGTTGCGGTTGGTGGCAGGCCGTAGCCAGGCGAAGTCAGTGAGGGGACCGGCCGTGCGCGGCTATGTGCGCACGTTAAACTTTGGACTCTAAATTCTGCCATAGCACTGGAATTGCGCGATCGGAGGGTAGAGGGCAGGATCACCGCAACAAGCTTCGCTTAGCGGTGGCTCTGTCCTTGTCAATCCTTCCTATCAAAAGGTTCGGACTAAATTTATAAAAAAATTAATTGTTAATATGTAATACATATGTGCATGTTAATATTACCACATAACGTATGTCTGCAATCTGCATGTCCGCAGCTCCGCAGCCCCTGGGTCAGCAGGCGCTCCTGCAGCAGCCCGGTCTCACTCCGGCCATGTTGATGCAGCAGCAGATCCAACAGCCCGCACAGGTAAGAACACGAGAGGGAGAGAGAGAGAGACTCGCGTGGCTGGGTGAGAGAGAAGAGATATTCCCGTGAACGAGTGAGAAGATTTATCACATTTATCACACAAAGTGTATTGATGTGTTTTAATCTTTTGTACTGACGTAGACGCTATATAATCCATGTCATGAAGGGTCTTAATACATTATCTACATACTTGAAGAATGGCTGGAAGTGATAATGGCTAGAACCAGAATGGTAAGAGACATGGCTGAAATGAGATTCGTCCAAAGGAACAGAAGTTGGTTAAAAAATATTGGCTGACGGATAGTAAGATCAGATTGAAATATAGAAGTGGGCTCTCCGAAATTAGGTTACATTACATATTAACAAGATCGGCAAGAACCGACATTATGAATACCAAGTTTGGAATATGGATAGAAATGCTCTCATCTCTCTCTCCCTTATCCCTGATCTATCCCTCTATCCGTCTCCCTCCCTCCCTCCCTCCCTCCCTCCCTCCCTTCCTCCCTCCCTCCCTCCCTCCCTCCCTCTCTCTCTCTCTCACTCTCTCTCGCTCTCGCTCTCGCTCTCTCTCTCTCTCTCTCTCTTTCTCTCTCTCTCCCTCCATTCCCTCTCTCTCTCTTTCTCTCCCCCTCTCCCTCTCTCTCTCCCTCTCTCCCTCTCTTACTCACTCTCCCTCTTTCCACAGGTCCCCTACGGGCTGCAGTTCCAGGCGGCCCAGCAGCAGGCGCTGCTCTCTCAGGCTGGGTCTGCCCTCGGTGCTCCCGGGATCGCTCTACCTACCACTCTGGCCTCTTCTCAGGTGAGCTACGAACGTATTCTCAGCGCGTCAAAATAGAATCCATCCCTGGATTTTTTTCTTGGTGAGCGTGGTATGGCTCTGCCTACCATACTGGCCTCTTCGCAGGCGGGTTGCGAGAGGTGTGCGTAATGCGTATGCTTAACCTCGGACTCTAAATTCTGCCATAGATCAGGAATTAGGCGATCGGAGGGTAGAGGATAGGGTCACCGCAACAAGCTTCGCTTAGCGGTGGCTCTGTCCTTGTGAATCCTTTCAAGTTTCACTCAAAACATTCAGACTAAATTTATAAAAAGAGAATAGTCTCAGTGCGTCAAAATGGAATGCATCCCTGAATTTTCTCTTGGTGAGCCAGGCGTCGCTTTGCCTACCACACTAGCTAGTAGCTTCTTCTCAAATCATTTATGAACTCGGCCTTAGTTTGAGAAAGAAAGGAATGTTTTTTTTTTAAGAAGGTAAGAGTGGACCCTCAATTTGACTCGAAGTTCGCCCAGTATTGCTCCGCGAATAACGTTGGCTTTGTGTGGGGTCAATCACAAACGCAAATCGCTCACGCTTACAAGCGCAAATTGAGGCTCCAGCTTTCGGTGCTGGATCTGCATTCGATTCGATTAAGACAGACTGTAGAACGCAACATGGAATTTTCAGGGTAGGTGTAAAATTGATCAACTCGAGGGTACTGAAAATTTCGGCGCGATCGATCGCTTTTTGCGCGAGTTATTCGCGAAAAACCATGGGGGGAGGGGTCCATTCGACCCTTCCCCCCCCAATGGACCCCTTCCCCCCATACGGGCGAGGGTTAACTCTTTCTCCGTCTTCCCTCCTTTCACAGCCGGTGATGACAGTGGGCTCAGGCGGCGTGGCCTACCCCACCGGCAGGAATCTGGGACCGACCGCCGGAGGGGCCTACCCCGGTCAGCAGCTGCTGCAGGTCGGTGGACACGCAGTCACTGAACTCAGTCAGTTAGTGTCATTCAGTCAGTCAGTGATTCCTCAGTCTCTCGCGCATTGAGCTCACCCACTCATCATCAATATCAGTCGGTAGTTTAGTCGGCCTCTCGTTAAAACTCGATATTAATTACTAGTTCGTTCACTTGTCTTTCACATGCTGAGTGAGTTCCAATTTACACTTTTTCTATTATTTACTTATCGACACGCCTGCTTAATAATAATAAACGCCCGCTAAATAATAATAATAAACGCCACTGGTTCATAGCCTTTCTTGCTATTTTTCGTGTGTTGACTGTCAGTGTCGACCTTATCTACTGTCGAGTTAATCTAGATTTATTTTTTAAGCCTATCAGTAAACATCACACTCTCATTCAATCACACATTCTTTAAAAACAGCCGTTGATGTGTCAGTGAGCTCTAATAAACCTTACCTCTCCTAATTGTGTTCATTTGCAGCAACAACAGCAGCAGCAGCAGCAGCAGCAGCAGCAACAGCAGCCGAAGCAGCGAGTCTTCACCGGAACAATCACCAAGCTGCATGACAACTTCGGCTTTGTGGATGAAGATGTCTTCTTCCAGACCAAGTACGATTTGGATTTTTTACTATGTGCCGGTCTGCCGGTTTGCCGGTCCCGTAGCTCAGTTAGTAGAGCGTTGGACTCCGCGTGGTGAGAGCACGCGTTCCCGGTTACAACAGTCCGGGTTCGAAGCGCGACGGGCGCTTGACATTTATGGGCCTCCTGACAGGTATGGTTGCGGTTGGTGGCAGGCCGTAGCCAGGCGAAGTCAGTGAGGGGACCGGCCGTGCGCGGCTTTGTGCGCACGTTAAACTTTGGACTCTAAATTCTGCCATAGAACTGGAATTGCGCGATCGGAGGGTAGAGGGCAGGGTCACCGCAACAAGCTTCGCTTAGCGGCGGCTCTGTCCTTGTGAATCCTTCCTATCACAAGGTTCGGACTAAATTTATAAAAAAAAACTGTGAGGGGAAAATTAGAGACGGGCGTCTTTTGCCGTAAACGAGAATCTAACTTGTCTTTGTATCATAAAAAAGGAATCGAACATCACGTCTTCATCTGATTTCGATGGCGTGAAGCTTGAACAAGTGTCATGTGTGCTACGTCATATGATGGAGGGAGTAGGATTTTACGACGGTCCTCTCCAGTCAACGCCAATTTAAACGTGAGGTTTTAGTGTCAATCAGTTCCTACAACTGTCTTACATCTGTCTGAAAATCTAACCCCTAACCATTCTCACTTTCTCCCTGACAGCTGCATTCGAGGAACTCTACCCAAAGTCGGAGAGCGTGTCCTGGTAGAAGCCCAATACAACTGACCACGTAACCCTCTTCTCACAGCTGCATTCGAGGCACTCTACCCAAAGTCGGAGAGCGCGTCCTGGTAGAAGCCCAATACAACGCCAGCATGCCGTTCAAGTGGAACGCCACTCGCATCCAACTTCTACCGAACCAGTCTACCTCTTCTGGTGGAGGCGGTGGAAGCGGTAGCGGTGGAGGAGGGTTGGGACATTCGGTTTCTAGTGGAGGAGGCAGCGGAAGAAGTCAGGCGCTGTTAACAAGAGGACCTCCTGGAGTCATGGCCAATAAGTCTACCGGCAGTGGAGCGTACAGCTCTGTGCCGCCACCGAGTAAGTGAGAGGCGGAGGAAGGGAGGGTAGAACAAGGGAGATGGCAAGAGGGAATGGTGACAGGATGGGATATAGTTTCACGAAAGAGTATGATAAATGGGAGATTAAATGTAATGCGAGACGTGTCATAGGTTATTCACTTAAAATGTTATTCTGATAGGTCTGAATTAAAAAAAAGAAATAGTAAAACTTTTTCTACGATATGGCGTGACAGTGCCCTAGTCTCGTTAGGGTCTTCTGATCCGTTGTATTGTCAATTTTATGTCACCTGTAGCCAGTTTTATGTCGCACCTGACTCCGGCTCCGAATCCCAGGTAACCATTCTAACCTACTCCCCTCTACAGCTCCACCCCTTTGTTAGGTGACTCAGTGAACCCCTGCCTCCCCCAGCCCCTTTTACTTCTCCCTCATGTATTGACGTGGCTCAGGCATCCCCTCTAACACCCCCACCCCCCCATGTCTCACCAGGCGACCAGATGCCCCAGTCTGGTTCCTCGAGTGTGTTTGGAGGTGCAAACCGTCTGCCTCACAGCGGCAGGCCGAGGTCCCCCATCAGAAGGGTTCGAGCCGCCAGTAGAGAGAAGGAGAGGAGGCGGAGCCGGTAAGAGAGGGGAGGGAGGGAGGGAGGCCGGAGGGAGGGAGGGAGAGGGGGTGAGGGGAGGAATAATCCAGAATCAATGTTGTTTGGGTTCAAGGAGAAGACGTCGAGGTCTATGTTGGGCCTTCCATAAAGCCGATTGGACGGCTTTCACGGCCCGCTGCGAGGAGACGATGGCTGACCTGACGCTGGGAGAGACCTCGGTGGAGAGACTCGCCGCGCGTTTCAACGATGCTATCATCGAGGCGAGCGCGCGGTGCGTTCCCCGGGGCGCCCGTGCGGACCCCAAGCCGTGGGCGCTCGACCCGGAGCTGGTGCGTGCGGTGGAGGAACGGAAAGCGGCAAGAGCAGCCGTCCAAGAGGACCCGTTCCCGGAAAACCAGACGCGCTGGAAAGAGAAGAAGAGGCACGCTGCAGATGTCGAGGCTGACGCCAGGCGCCGCGCGTTCCAGGACTTCGCGTCTACCGAATTGAACCGCCGCGCGGCCTTGGGCCGCGTCACAAAGATCCTGCGCAAGATGGAGGGTGCGGTGACGGACACCTGCCCCGGCTAGGCCATCAACGGGGACCGCGGCCAACTCGTCGCGGAGGACCGGGCCAAGGCCGAGGCGTTTGTCCGCTCCTACGCAAACGTCAGCAGCTACACCCGTCACAGGAGGCGTGATCGATCAGTGAAGGCTGATCTGAGGGTGGTGAAGACGCGCCCCTGCTCATGTGCTGGACAGCGCGATGGTGCCTGCCAGCCCTTCTCCAGACAAGAGATGAGGACCCAGCTGAGCAAGCTGAAAATGAAGAAGGCTCCCGGCGCCGACGATGTATGTGCGGAACACCTCAAGCACCTCGGGCCGGTGGCCCAGGCCGCGCTACTGCACGTCATCAACAAGTGGTGGAGCTCCGCTGAAGTCCCCTCGGTATGGAGGAGAGCAATCATCATACCGATCCCTAAGGCCGGGAAGGACCCTCATTGAGGTCACTAGCTACCGTCCGATATCGCTCACCAGCCACGTCGCCAAGCTGATGGAGCGGATGGTGGCAGCTAGGCTCACGCACCTACTGGAGCGAGACAACATTATCCCCGCAGAGCAGGTCGATTTTCGCCGCGGCCGCTCTGCAGAGGAGAACCTGGGACGACTCATACAAGAAGTCCAGGACGGGTGGAACCGGCCGCCACCGAAGGGACACCCGTCTGACGGCAAGACCGCCGCCAGGTTCGTGTTGACGGCCTATGACTTTTCCCGCGCCTACGATGTAATCGACCATCAAATGCTGCGACTGAAGATGTCCCATCACCTTCCACGGTGCCTTGTCACGTGGATTCACCACTTCCTCCGAGACCGACGCGCCTGCGCGGAGGTCAATGGGTCACGGAGCTGGAACCGCCCATTCCGAGCTGGCCTGCCGCAGGGGTCCGTCCTCGCACCGACCCTGTTCACGCTGTGGTCGGCGGACCTCGTGGCGGCGCTGAAGCGGATCCCGGGCACCTCTGTCTTCCTGTACGCCGATGACACCGCAACACTGTGTTCCGGCGGTACGATAGCGGAAGCCAGGGACCGGGCTCAACAAGCGGCGGATGCCATAGCGAAATGGGCCCGCGACTGGAAGATGCGGCTGGCAGGAAGCAAAACGCAAGTTTTAGCCCTGTCGCAGCACTACGTCGACGCCCGGGACCTGTACATCCACGTAGACGGGGCACGAGTGGACGCTGGGAGACACCTTCACCTTCTCGGTGTAACCCTGGACCGGCAACTTCACATGGGCGAGCACTGCGCGCGCGTCCGGAAGAAGACCAAGCCGAGGATCGCACAGCTCCGTAAGATGACCGGGCGTTCCTGGGGTCTGCGGGAGCCACAGCTGCGAGTAGTAGCCAACGGCTACATCCGCGGTGCCCTGGAATACGCGGCGGCTGCATGGCTCCCTGCAGCGTCCGAGTCCCACGTAGAGCTACTGGAGATTGAGATGCGCGCCGCAGCCCGCGTTATCACCGGGTGCCCCGTGAGCACGCCGAGGGACCCGCTCCTCGCGGAAGCCGGTCTGGTTCCCGTGAGAGCACCCCGGGACCTGCTCGCTGCCAGACTGAGCTGTCTGGCAGCCTCACAAAGAAGCGGCGACCCACTGCGCGCGGTGGCCGAAGCAACGGCCCCACGGCGGCTCCGCACCACCACCGGCTGGCGCGACCTGGGGGCCACGAGGGCGGCGCGCCACGAGGGCGGCGCGCCGGGCGCGCGCCCTGGTGAGCGCGGGCGTGCGAGATGTACCTGTGGAGGAGCGCCTGCACGTCACCATCCCGCCGTGGATCGATGACACCAGGGTCCAGTTCAGACTTGACATCGGCAGCCACATCAGCCGCACAGCACCAGCCGACGTCCGGCGCTCGGAAACGGAGGAACATCTGGCCACCCTTCCAGACGACGCCGTGTGGGTATGGAGCGACGGCTCGGCGGAGGGAGGTGTTGTCTCAGCCCAGGGCCTCCTCTAAGGATTTTTCACTGGGTGGGCAGAATTTTCGCTACTCCCCTGCCCAAGGGCGAATCCAGCCACTATTTTGAGGTTCAACCAATTTCAAAACCTGTTACCGCGGGGGGGGGGCGGGGGTGAGGCGAAATAAGCAGTGCCGTTATTGGAAATAAGATGATAGTTTGCAAAGTTAACTTTTGTCGTATGTTTTATGGTTAGCGATGCTCGAGCGATTCGTTCCAGAGTTACATGTACACTGTACAGCCCTCCGCAAACTGCGTGGTAGGTAGGTATTCTTATTCGGTATTCTTGCTATTTTGACAATGTACCAGTTTTTGTGACCTTGTGACCTGGCCTCGGGTCACTAGAACCTAAAACTCCAAGGCCAAGTGACAAACAGATGCTCCAAGCCGTGTCTTAACCCTCGCATGTGTGCGGCGTTTGCCAGCTTCTAATGTGTAGGGGGGGGGGGGGTCGGTTGGACCCCCCCTTGCCGTTTGGCCCCTGATCAAGCTAGAGCTTCGCGGAAAAAACGAGCGTGTTGCCCGTGACGAGAGGAAGCCGATGATACCCAATTTTAAGGTCCTAGGTCATTGGTTGACCTTCCAGGTCAGGTCAATGACCCAAAGTCGGGAAAATCGGGACCTATTAGAAAGTCGTAAAGTGTGGCTGCTAAGGGGTTTTCGGGGTACTGATCACGAATATCGTGTTAGTTTTGATCACAGATGATGTCGTTAAGCATTTAGACCAGGTCGGGTCAGGTCAGGTCAGATCAACCAGTAGGGGTTGTGACGGGTGTTCGTAGTACCTGTCAACCGCCTCTGACAGCTTCGTAACATGTTACGAAGGCACCAAAACTGCTTCGTAAATGTTCAAATGGTTGCTAAATTCGAATTCAGCTCCAAAAACTAGCCTAGAAACATGTAAAACTCGAAAAAGTGAACCGAGGTCACCCGAGGTCACCAAAGGTCAATGACCTGACCTGACCTTCAGGTGACCTTGACACCCACCCTAATGCATGGGAGCAACATCAAATCATATGTTTGAACGTTTGAAACCACGAAAAGCTTGCAAACGCGCGGCTAATGCGAGCCGACATACGCGGAATCGCGATTCCGGCCAAACATGGTCTCGGAAAAGAGGTCACAGGTCAAAGGTCATTTGGGTCAGGGTCATGAAATTTTCAGGGTAGGTGTAAAATTGATCAATGCGAGGGTACTGAAAGTTTCATTGCGATCGGCCGCTTTTTACGCGAGTTATTCGCGAAAAACCATGGGGGGTCCATCCGACCCCCCCCCCCCCCTACACATGCGAGGGTTAAATTTGGTAGCGCTACGTGCTATAGAACTCACGCTATCAACGAAAAACTCTGGCATTCGGTTGCCGCTAAACTACATAGTCCAATTTTCCCCTGACCTTGTACGGGGTTTGTGACCTGGTGACCTGACCTGAAAAGACTAGAGACCTGAAATTTTCAGGACAAGTGCCAAAAGGTTGCCCCAGAGCAGGGGCGGATCCAAGGGGGGGGGGTCACATGGGTCATGGCCCCCCCCCCTTGAGGCCCGGGGGCCCAAAGACCTGCCAGGGGCACCACCGGCCTATCAGGGGTATCACAGTCCTGACAGGGGCACCACAGGACCGCCAGGGGCACCACAGGCCTAGCAGGGACACCACGGGCCTGGTGCCCCTGGGCCCTGACAGGACTGTAACGCCCCTGACAAGCCTGAAGTGTCCCCGGTAGGCACGTGGTGCCCCTGACAGGCCTGAGGCGCCCCTGCAAGGGCGGTGGTGCCCCTGGCAGGCCTGTGGTGTCCATGGCAGGCCTGTGGTGCCCTTGCTAGGCCTCTGGTGCCCCTGACAGGCTTGTAATGCCCCTGGAAGGACTGTGGTGCCCCTGGGCCCTGACAAGCCTGAAGTGTCCCTGACAGGCCAGTGGTGCCCTTGCTAGGCCTGTGGTGCCCCTGGCAGGCCTCTGGTGCCCCTGACAGGCTTGCGGTGCCCTTGGAAGGACTGTGGTGTCCCTGGGCCCTGACAAGCCTGAGGTGCCCCTGACAGGCCCGTGGTGCCCTTGTTAGGCCTGTGGTGCCCCTGGCAGGCCTCTGGTGCCCTTGCTAGGCCGCTGGTGCCCCTGGCAGGCCTCTGGTGCCCTTGCTAGGCCGCTGGTACCCCTGCGCCCGGAGAGGACTGGTGCCCCTGAAAAGTCTGAAGTGCCCCTCGGCAGGCCCGTGGTGCCCCTGACAGGCCCAAGGTGCCCCTGCGAGGCCGGTGGTGCCCCTAGCAGACCTCTGGTGCCCCTGGCAGGTCTGTGGTGCCCCTGGCAGGTCTGTGGCGCCCCTGGCAGACCTGTGTTGACTGGTGCCCCTGCTAGGTCGCTGGTGCCCCTCACAGACCTGTGGTGCCCCTGGGCCTTGACAAGCCTGAGATGCCTGGCTATGACAGGCTCGTGGTGCCCCTGATAGACCAGTGGTGCCCTTGCTAGGCCTGTAGTGCCCCTGGCAGGCCTCTGGTGCCCCTGCTACCCCTGCGCCCGGAGAGGACTATGGTGCCCCTGAAAAGCCTGAAGTGCCTCTTGACAGGCCCGTGGTGCCCCTGGCCCCTGACAGGCCCAAGTTACCCCTGCGAGGTCGGTGGTGCTCCTGGCAGACCTCTGGTGCCCCTTGCAGGTCTGTGGTGCCCCTGGCAGGCCTGTGTTGACTGGTGCCCCTGCTAGGCCGCTGGTGCCCCTCACAGGCCTGCGGTGCCCCTGGAAGGACTGTGGTGCCCCTGCCCCTAGGGGTGCTCATGGGCCCAACAGGTCCGTTGTGCCCCTGACAGGCCTGTCGTGTATACTTGCTAGACCTGTGGTGCCCCTACTTCCTGGCAGGCCTGTGGTGCCCCTGGCGGGCCTGTGGCGCCCCTACAAGGCCGTAGGTGCCCCTGAAAGGTTTGTGGTGTCCCTGGAAGGACTTTGGTGCCCCTGACAAGCCTGAAGTGTCAAGGACAGACCCTTTAGACGCCAGGGTCAAGTTCGTCGGACTGACAACGATTTGCTTACCTGATAACGTTCCTGGTAAGTACTCACTACTCAGCGTCCACAACATATATACACATAGCATCTATGCACATAGCACATTCATATATACTTGCTTACAATTGGTAAATGTGGTTGTGGCTAAGAGTTAAGATACTGACTAAAAATAAAAAATAAAAATAAAAAACTGAAAATGGGGGCACCACCAAAATGAAGTGGACGAAATCCGTTGAGTTTTTAATTTTGGGTATAGGTAGGGGCACCACTTCGATTCATGACCCTCCCCTTGGAGTTTTCCTGGATCCGCCCCTGCCCCAGAGGCCCAGAGGGCAGAGGGTATGCTAAATTTGAGCGCCGCCGTTTTTACGTTATTTGTGAAAAACCTTAGGGGGATGCATCAACCCCCCTCACCGGGTGAGGGCTAACTAACATAATACATTGTAGTAAAGGCTACCCGAACCGGTAATGATTCTTGCTTATTTGTTTAGCTCAGCCGTATTTAGAGATTTAGCTGGCTTTGTCCATGAATAACAATATCGGCAGGGGCGTAGCCAAGGGGGAGGGGCCACGGGGGCAATGGCCCCCTCCCTTGAGCGCAAAACGCGCCATGGGGGAGCCCCTCAGGCCCCGGGATATTTTTTTCAAACACTGGATAAAACGTCTTTTGCTCGGAAGAAAATTGATATCGAAGTTTCATTTCTGTGGCCCTCTGATGACCCAATGGGCCCCTGCACTCATCCGATGACCCCCGGTTTCCTGGGGCCCCTGGTCGCCTAGAGGGCCCCGGTCGCTTGGGGGCTAGTCGCCTGGGGGCCTGGTCGCCTGGCCCCTGCCCCCTGGTCGCCTGGAAGAACGCTTGTCACCTGCAGTGGCATAGCCAAGGAGGGGGCCAAAGGGACCATGCCCCCCCCCCCTGGAAGCCAGGGGTCCTTATTCTATAGGGGCCCTGGCTGACACAGTGGGCCCTTGGCGACGCAAAGGCCCCTGCGGCAGATCCTTTGACACAGCTGAGTAGTTATACTTTGGCCAAGAGAGCCCCAATTTTAGAGCCTTGGGGCCCTATTGAAACCAGGGGGCCAGTTGGATGGGATGGGTCCAACTTGGGTCCAACGCTGTGTAAACAGAATCAATGCGTTCCGACTGTTGGTCTGACCCTATATCGGTTTGAGGGAGCTCGGATCGGATCCACTGTCGATCTGAGGGGCCCCTATCTGTTTGAGGAAGCCCTCAAATGCCCTGAACGGGTCCTTAGTTTGTCTGAGAGAGCCCTCCGTCGGCATGACTGGGCCTCTGCAAGTGCAAGGAGGGCTTTTGTCGGTCTTAGTGGCCCTTAGGCGGCTTATATGACCCTCAGACGGCTTACGAGGCTCTCATGCGCTGTAGGGGCCTGTGACGGTCTGAAGAACCCTTATCCGACCTACGGGCCCTCAGACCGCCCTCAAAACCGACTGGCGACTCTATGAAGCTATTCGTGGGCCTATCTAACAGGGCCCATGGACTGCTTACCCCCTCAGTTCTAATATTTTTTGTTAATAAATATTTTTCTATTTATTTGGGCCCCCTCCAAAAAAATATTGGATCCAACCAGATGGCTTTTTGGATTTTTAGGGGGTTATTTTGGGCCCCTGTGCGTTTGGCCCCCTCCTTGAGGAAATTCTGACTACGCCCCTGAATATCGGGCAACCAGAAAACTTTTTTTTGACCTTCAAACAGCCTCCAGTTTGCTTAAGACCAGAAAGGTAGTACCGGACGTCCGGCCGGACCAGAATTTTTGCATTTGCTTCTGCACGGGTGGAGAATTGTGCTGGACTGGGGGTGCTCGAGCTCTCCCAATTCCACGCCGGCTTGGCTTTGGAGCCGCGGCCGGGCGGCGCGGGTCAAGGTCACCGCTAGGCGGCGGCGGATTTGCTGCGCCCGAGCACCCCCAGCTGGTCACAATTCTCCACCTATGTGCTTCTGGGTGGGCAAATCGACGCCACTGGGTGGGCAATTGTGGTGACTGGGTGGGCATTTGCCCACCCAGTGGGTATGTTAGAGGAGGCCCTGTCTCAGCCGGAGGGAGTGGAGCGCTGATAATCCTCCCCTCAGGCGAGGAACGTGAGCTCCGAGCCCCTGCGGGCAGGATATGCAGCAGCACCCGCGCCGAATTGGTGGCGATCCGCGGGGCACTGGAGATGCTGCTGCGGCTGGAGGGCGGCCTGGCGGAGAGCCCGGTCATCGTCTGCGCCGACTCGCAGGCGGCGCTCGCCACACTGGCGAGTGGGGCTGGGAGCCAGGTGACAGCACTCGGCGCCGCCGTATGGCGACTGCTCCTGGCGCTCACGGACGGAGGACGCCGAGTCTTCATGCAGTGGATCCCAGCGCACTGCGGAATACCCGGCAACGAGAGAGCGGACGTGCTGGCTAAAGAGGCATCCAGCCTGTCGCAAGACGCCGTCCCAACGGACGTCCGCTCGATGGTGAAGGCAGTCGGCCGCTCCGCCACCAAGGCATGGCGTCGCAGCTGGCCAGACAGCTTCTTCAAAACCATCATGGGAGACCGGATGCCGATGCCGGTGCTCCTGGAGTCTCGCGACGAGGCGGTCAACGTCCACCAGCTGCGGGCGGGACACTGGAGCCGCTCGCAGAGCTACCTCCACAGAATCGGACGCCGCCCCGAGCGCGACTGCCCACAGTGCAGTGATCTGGCCTGCCCGGCGGCGCGCTGCCTGGTGTGTCGCGAGGGCCCAGACACGCCGGAGCACGTGCTGCTGAGGTGCCCGTGCTTGGCTGGCGCGAGGCTCCGCCTACTCGGCAATATCAGACCGGACCCTACGCAGCTTCGGGACGGCGGGGCCGTGGCGGCCTTGAGCCGCGGCTACCTCAGTCACCAAGAGCCGTTGGGCTACGGTCGGCCGTGAGCCGACCCGGGGAGAACAACAACAACAACAGGTCTATGTTGTAGTCCACAATCTTATGTTCTTCTGCATCAATTTGATTTCATTTGGATCAATCTTGTCTATCGAAGTGAGAGATAAAGAGAGGGAGAATACGAGGGAGGGAAATAGTTGATTGGTTGTAGTCTTGTGGAAGGGATCAAAGTAAACAACTATTTGTTTTGCTACATCCTCTTGGAGCTGAAGCCCCCCACTCAGTCTCTATTCCACTTCTGACTCCCCTGCTCTCTGTTACAGTGAGAGGGACGGCTCGAGCGCCCGCCGCCGCAGCCGCTCCCGGTCCCCGCGCCGCCGGGGACGCACCGTGCCGCGCTACTCCGTACACGTGCCGAAAGTTACGCTGGATCTGTGAGTAGAGCAGCTGTATGGAAGTGACTTAACTGATTGCCAGGCTGACATGTAAAGAGATTGCATCAGTCATGCGTGTCTTATGCAATTTTACAGTGTGCTGTGGTAAATAGTTTTTTTCTTTTCTTTTTCATTGTATTTTGTTTTTTTGTTTTTGCTACGCTTTCAGACATTTGGCATGGTGATGCCCATTGCCATTCCTCGTCCATCGGTTTTCTACCGGCTCCTTTTCCCACATCCACTTCCATTGTATGAACACTTCTGCTCTCTGAAGAACATGACGCTCAATCCCTTTTCCCTTCCCTCAGCACCATCGCTTCTTTTCTAGCCTTTACGCCCCCCTTTCCTTCCCTCAGAACCACCCCTCCCCTGCTGCTTGTGAAGGACATGACTCACATCCCCCTATCTCTACCACAGGACTGACGCCACGGTTCTAAGGCTGAAGGACATGACTCTCACATCCCCCTATTTCTACCACAGGACTGATGCCACGGTGCTGACGCTGAAGAAACGCTACAGCAACCTGTACGTGCCGTCAGACTTCTTTTCGTCTCACTTCCTCTGTGACACCGCCTTTCCGCTGCATCGGCCCTTCCAGGTACAGTACAGTGTCTTCTAAATGGGGGTAAAGGTTTGCAAGTAGGTAGGTGTACCCGGCCTGTGATAGTGATGACATGTGTTTGTCACGTGACCTATATTCTGCTCATATTGCACCTGATGTATCATCACGTGACCACTGGCCAATGAGTTGACACACCTTTTCTGTGGTTGATATTCATTATGTTATTTTGGCTGCACCACGTGACCAATTGCATATCGCTCCATTGACCACAGCATGACCCGTGTAACATCACATGGCCAATCTTCCACCCGCCGTGAACATAGCTGTTCTCATGCTATGCCACATCACGTGACCAATGTCCCACCCCCTGTACCGCAGCTGGCCACGCCCGATGTTACATCACGTGACCAATGTCCCACCCCTTCTACCACAGCTGGCCACGCCGGTGTCGTACCACGTGATGAGCAAGGACGTGGATCCGGTGGCTGAGAACGATGCCGTCTATGAGCCACCCGATGTCGACTACCGCTTCTGCGCCAAGGTGAGAACGGTCTTGGCGAAAATGGGTGAGTTACGCCAAAATGGAAGCTGCTCTTGGCTAATGCTTGGTAAAGCTGACACTAGTTCGATGGTCAAGACCGAAATGTTTTCCTTCACATAGTGCTGGCAAGATGAGATTGGAGTGGCTGGTTACTACTGTTCTTTTTTTTTTGTCCTGTACAAAGTATTCGACTGACCGCACTCCCCGATCAGGTTATGCTTCTGATCTGACCACTTTCCACTGTGAAAACTGTATCGCCAGGACTGTCAGAGGACTGACTCCGCCCCCTCTTTTAACGCCGCCCCCTTCCGCCCCTCAGGTAATGCTTCTCACCAGGGCTGCGGAGTCGATGGATTTTCGGCGACTCCGACTCCGACTCCGACTCCGGCTTTCAAAAACCAGCTCCGACTCCGACTCCGACTCCGGGCAGAATTGTCGACTCCGACCGACTCCAACTCCCGACTCCGACTCCGCAGACCTAGCAGGGCTGAGGAGTCGACAGATTTTCGGCGACTCCGACTCCGACTCCGGCTCGGGTTTCTAAAATCGACTCCGACTCCGACTCCGACTCCGGTCACAACTGTCGACTCCGACCGACTCCGACTCCGACTCCGACTCCGACTCCGCAGCCCTGCTTCTCACCACCCCCTCGTGGGAGGAGCTGTACTGCCGCTAACTTCGCCCCCTTCCCCGGTTTTAACGCCGCCCGCCGCCCCTCAGGTGATGCTTCTCACCACACCCTCCTGGGAGGAGCTGTACCGTCGCACCACCAGCCTGGCTGAGCTGGGGGACGATGTTGATGATCCCGTCCACCCGTCTCGACTGATCAGCTTCCTGGTCGGACTGCGCGGTCAGTAATCGGGCGGGCTGGGGTTCGAATCTTGGGGTGGGTAGAGCTTTATCGTAAGATGCTGATGCGGGCTCGGTATTGAATGAATTGGTTGTAGACTAGCTTTGAAGTGAAAGGTGTAATAAGCGAATTATTTGGCCGAAACTTTTGGTTTGTTGTTGTTGTCGTAACGTAAGTTTGGTTGTGATTTCGAACGCTGGATGTTACTTACGGACAGAATGCGTTGATTATCTTTCTTCTTCGTTTCTTCTTCGTCTTTCTCGCACATTGACTGCCATCGACGCCCTCATAATCAGATAATCAGGCTCAACAAACAAAACAATTATCTCTCTTCCTCTCTTTCTCCCTCCTTCATTCTTTTTCTTTCTCCTCTATCTTTCCTTTTTCAAGCCTCTTACACACCAACGAGAGTATTCCGCCTTTGATTTAAGCTTTTGCTTTTGCGCCAATCCTCTATTGTTTTGTTTGTTGTTCTTGTTTACATTTGATAAAATGCAATGAACTGATCTGAACTGAACCCTCCTCTCCTTCCGCAGGTAAAAACGAGACAATGGCCATCGGCGGCCCGTGGTCACCCAGTAAGGACGGTGCAGACCCGGAGGGGGATCCACAGGTGCTCATCAGAACGGCCACTCGCACCTGCCGCGCACTGACCGGGGTCGATCTGTCCCAGTGTACTAAATGGTGAGTAAGGAGGAGGGTGTGGGGAAGGGTTGGTGAGGTCTTGGGAGGGATTAGGAAGCTTTGAGATGGAATTGGGAGCTTTGAGGGATGGATAAGTTTTTGGGAAGCCATTGGGAAGAAGTGTGTAAGTTTTGGGAAAGGGATGGGGAAACCTTTGGGGATAAAGGACTAAGGAGTATGCTCTGATGAATATATTGGCAATATTCTCAAGGATTCGATAGGTACTCGTAAGCTTAGACATTGGAATGGATAAGTTTCGTGAGAAGAGTGGCCATGGTTTGGGAAAAAAGTATCTGTGGGTGATTAGTTTGAAGGATGGCTGGGCTACCTTTTTAGCTAAGTAGGATGTAATAAATTAGTGGGTAAAATTGTATTGACAAAGCCATAATAGCTGTCACTTGGTATAAGTTATTGGGGAAGCTTAAATCAAGTTTTGTTTGCATCGTAGGTTTGACGTACTGACATCCTTAGAGTAAAAATCAACTATTATGTGTAGTCAGCACGAAATTCAATAATCACGTTTCGTTGTGGCCCGTGAAATTGTCATAAAAATCTAGTATCGGCTTATTCTGGAATTATAACTTTTATTTTATTTGTTTTCACTAGCCGATATCAAAGGGCACGGTTTTCTCGCCTGTTTTGTCTTTGGTGGTGGTGTATTATAGAAAAGACTTCAAAATCCACTTCCAGCTTTGACCCTACCTTCCTCAAACCACCCAGATATGCATTATAAAAAAGCTTTTAGGAGAAATTCATGCGAAAAGGCTGACGACCACGAATCATCCGTTAATATTTAACCTCTCTTTAGATCTTTTGACAGAAAGAGCCGTCGCTTCCCTTATCACGAGATTTGGAAGCACCTGTGGAAACTTCGCACAACGTGCGGCCGTTGTTTCAATATTCTCCTCCCTGATTGGTCGATTTCCGCAACCGGGGCATTTGATTGGCTGGGCGGTGGGCGTCAGCGCTTCGGATTGGTGTGGGCGGAGTTCTTCTGATAGCTGGTTGGTCGCACGTGACAGCGGGCTTTTCTGATTGGCTGAGCGTTCGATATTCCTCCCTGATTGGTTCTCTGTGACGATGTGGAGCAGCTGACTGTTTTTGTCTGTGTTTATGATCATTGTGTAGACCTGCAGAACGACTTCAGACGTCTTTAGGACCCCTACGTCTTGAGAAACTCCCCCTGCGTGTGACCTGGCTCGGGTGTTCCTCTTTCCGCCCCTGCAGTCTGTTACTTTCCACCGTGTCACCTGTCATCTAGTTCGTCGTGGCCCCCTGTCTACATACCAAGTGCTCCACACGTCCCGCACGTGTCTACACGTGTCCAAACGTGTCGGCACGTGCTGCAGCCGACCCATTTTCCCCACGCTGTGTGCGCGATTTTCCCAGGTACCGGTTGGCGGAAATCTTCTACCGCCGTGGCGACAAGGCGACCGAAACGGTCGTGCTTTTCCTTCCCGATACGTCGGCGCTGCTGCCATCTCTCGTCGCGTGGGAAAAACAGCAGGCCACCTACCGGCAGGCTCTGCAAGCTAAACTTAACCCCGCCGCCGCCGCAGCTGCTGCCGCCGGACAGGACGAGAAGGCACGGGCCGAGAGAGAGAGAGTGGGGGAGCAGAGAGAGGGGAGGGTGTTTGGTGTTTTGTGTTGCAGGTTGGGAGTCCCAGCGGTGGTGGCGGCCGTGCCGGAAATGACGCGCTTCCGGTCGCCTGGTTCACCGTGAGAGATTGTAACGTCCAAAAATGGAGTTGGTTCATAACATCCTAAAGCCTTTTTTGGTTTCTTTAGAGTCCAATTGTTTCCAGCTTGGCTGAAAATGTCTAAACGTCATCAATTTTTATTTCGTAATAGCTTCCCCTCGTTTTCCGGTCATTTTAACACCGGATGTAGAGTTTTCCCACGGTGTTGGCGACCGGAAGTGCCAGTTTCCGGTGCGGTTCCGCCAGCCGCCGGGGGACAGCACCCGACGGGCTGGTCGAACGAAGTCTACGCCATCTGAGCACCAGGACGGGAGAGTGAGACGTATGATGGGCATCTCTTCAAGGGGGTTATGGGCATCTACTTGGGAGTTCCTACGCAATGTCGTGCTCGTGGACTTGGATGTGTGGATGCGTTGGATGATTTGATGCCTGATCCTTTGCGTATGAATGAGGGCATGAGTGATTGGGAATGAGTGTCTTGGAGGTTTTCAGGGGTCCAGGGGGTCTTTATCTGTGCCACTTCTAAGAAAATGTTAAGAGATGTCGCCTACAAGGAGGACAGAGTCTTCACAACCAATGCTTCCACTCCATGAACCTTTATAGTTTGGTCTACTCCCTTATTGCTCTTCTACGTGGATGGACCTCCAATATTCCCGTTTGGACCTGGCTAATTCCCACTTGTGCCCTGTTTCTATTTTTCAATGCTGGAGCTCACTCACCTTGAAATTTTCCCAGGAGGGCTGCCTCTTCAACTGTTTCTTCGAGAGCCACCACGTTTAGCCATCAATGATCCCTTTAACATACACCTGGAACACAGCTCTCCTTTGTAGGCTTTTGTAGATCCGTACCTTCCGCCTAATTAACTTAGCGAAGCTGATCTACTAAGGCCTGTCCGTTGGAGGGCTATGGTTACCATGGGGTTCCGAAGGGTTTCAATGCAAGGTTATAATGCTGATGATATTTAGCAGTCAGCTTTCACCTGAAGTTACCTTTCACTCATATAACTGTTTATTCCTAAAGTTGCTGGTTCCGTTAAAGAAAAATATAAGGGCCAAACACATAACCCTGTGGAACCCCATTTCGTGCCCCCACATCCCCCTCTAGAATGAAACCAGTTATCAAAAAGAAAATCTAATTAAGAGTCGGCCTGTGCTAGTCTTCTATTGTGAGTCCCCAGATGTTGATTGCCCCAAACGCGTGAATATGTCCCCTTTGCTAATCTCCTTTTTACTACCACCACGCCATCACCACCGTCATCGCCAACGCTGCCGGCATCATCACTGCTCTTCAACGTTGTCCGTGACTTCCCGCCACTGATGTTGATCATCATCATCATCATCATTGAACATCGTCTGGATCGACGCCCATCGCCGTTTTTCCTCTACATTCGACTTTCATCGTCGAATGTCGCCTTGATCATCGTTCGTCTTCTTCATCGATGCGCTACGCTGCTCTTCGTCGCCCACGTCTTCGTTCATCACCATCAACGTTAACATCAACATCAACAACATCATCATCATCATCATCGTCATCAACATCATCATCATGGCCGTCATCAGGAGGAGGAGGACGATGGTGAGGTGCCGGTGAAACAGGAGCCGACCAACTGGTCCGAGCTGGATCCCAAGAACATGAAGGTGGCTGAGCTGAAACAGGAACTGGAGCTGCGCGCTATGAGTCCCAAAGGTGGGTTGGATAAGGGAGTAGAGAGAGGAGGGAGTGTGGGGATGCCAGAGAAAGGAGCGAGAGATAGGTAAGGGAGTTGGGGTGGCATGGCGAATAACGAGGGACACAAAGTGTGGGTTTGTATACGTGCAAGGGGACATGATGGCAGGTTGTCGCGGTAAGTGTTAAAGAAGACCTTTTGTTTGACTTTTGGATAGAATGGTCTTTTATTGTTAACTAGTTGCGAGTAGCTTGAATAACTCGGAAATGCGATATTGTTTTGCAACACAGTTGTAGCAAAAGTGCATTGCTTTCATCTTTTTCTTATTTTCACTTTCCTAAATCGACAAAGGTTGACAAATGCTGCGACAAAATGTCTGGAGTATCGAATCGTAACATTTTCTCTCAAACTCTCAACATCTCATCGCAATCACTTTACATCAAAGTAGTGTTCCTTCTGTCGAGCCCCAGGCCTTCAAAGTCCATGACGAATGACTGCTGTTGATCACTTAACTAAACCAATCCTCCCCCCTCCCCCATGCCAGGTCTCAAATCGCAGCTGATCGCCCGTCTGACCAAAGTCCTCAAGACCGAGGAGGAAAAGGAGACGGAGGATAAGACCTCTGGCTCCACCACAGGAGGAGGAGCAGGCTCGGCGGCTCCCAGAGCGGTGTCTCCTGTTCCCATCGCCGCCACCGCGGTGGTGGACGGAGGAACGGATGAAGAGGATGTGAAGAGGAAGGATGATGCGGAGAGGAGGGTGCTGGAGAAGAAGTGAGTGGATGGGGATAAGAGAGAATATTACGCCCAAAGCAGTCAACATCCAAAAAACGAGAGGCTCTGTCAATGTGTCCGTAGTGTGATTGAGGTTTGTTTATGTGGGAGGGGTAAAAGGGATGGGGGCAAGGTAGGGTAAAATGGAGCGTGTAAGGAGGGTAGAAGGAGGGTAGGGTAAAGAGTGCGCCGTTTTTAAGTTAGTTTGTGAACGATATTTGGTCGATGGTTGTAAATTTGGATTTTGTTGAAGGTTTGAAATGATGATGGTTTAGTGGAGCAGCTGTCGGTACGTTCCTGGAAAGACATTTGATGCAAAGTTCCTTGCCTCTTGCATTTGCGTTCACCATTTTCTCCAGGTTGTGTTTTAAATCCTTATTGCCGAGACACTAACCGACCCTCTTCTTTACCGTCACCTAAGTCCTCATTAGACAGAAGTCACTGCCCCTTGCCTGATCTAAACCTCTTTTCCCATATGTCATAACCCTTAACTTCAATATGAACAGCGGCATCGAATTGCCTAATTTCACAAAGCTTCTTCATATAACGCCTTTAATTTCACCCGTTTTGTTTCAGGTACCACCTGCCCGACACCCCTCAGGTGATTGTCCATCCTCACCGCACGGCCAAGTCGGGCAAGTTTGACTGTACAGTCATGTCGCTGTCTGTTCTGCTCGACTATCGACCCGAGGACAATAAGGTGAGAAAACTAACGGACGAAACACACGACAATCCAACGCACATTCACAGAGGCATCACTGGACAGATACATAATCGGCTGTATGGATAGATTTTCCTCTGAAATTATTAAAAGAAGTGTGTGGTGTCATATATTTTACCATATTCTCCTCCGTTGACGTAGCTGCACAGCTTGTTGAACTTCGCCTTGATTCAACTCTTTGGTTGTTATGTCTGTTGTCGTTTTTGTATGCCCCCACGTGGGACCGCGGCCTGTTGGGGCTCTGATGTTTAACACTTCTTTGTGTGTGGATTTGCATTCTGCTGCTGCCCTAGTGTCCCTGTATTGTAGAATCTTCATATATTTCGTGCCGTTTCTTGACGCCCCCTTCCCCCCCCCCCCTCCTCCGCCGTTAATGCCTCGCTGGCTGAATTCTAATACCATCTCGTGCCCTTGTTGACGCCCATTCCTCCGTCCACAGGAGCACTCGTTCGAGGTGTCTCTGTTCGCTGAAGTGTTCAATGAAATGCTGATGAGGGACGCCGGGTTCGCCATCTATCGAGCCCTGATGGAAACGCCGGAGAAGGGAAAAGATGAGGTGAGAGAGAGGGAGAGAGAGAGGGGTTAGAGAGTGAGTGAGTGAGTGAGAGAGTGAGAGCGAGAGGGGAGGAGGGTGAGGCCCGCTCAGTGTTCTAAAATTGGATTTTGGTTGGGTGTGGTGATGAATAAGGAAAATTCCTAGGATGAGAAAAAAAAGAAGTAAATACCAATAGTAGGTATTCTCGCAGAAGGGCGTAACGCCCTTTTACGCCATTTGATGAAGCAGGATTTCATGTCAGGGTTTTGACGGGATCTAAAAGAAAAGTATGTGGATGCATCGACTGCCAAGTGCCAAGTGATATGTAACCTGGCTGTTTGAATGCATGAAACGTTTTCCAAAGATGACATAGTGTCACTTTATCTGATTTTTGGGATGAAAATATTATCTCCATTTGGTGTGATTTTCCACCCAAAATTCTGAAAAACGGAACACTGGGCCCGCTGGAGTTTTATTTAGAAAACCTCTGCTTTCAGATATTTCCCTAGATGCTACACTGGTAGTGTTAACTTAGGGAAAAGTATGGTAGATACCCATCAATTTTTCTTTTAAGTGAGGACGGAATTTGTGCTCTCAACTTTTCCTGTGTTTTAACACCACATTTTCGTTCGTTCGACAGAAAAAGAGCAAGGACAAGAAGGAAGACGAGAAGAAGGAAGGTGACGAGGACAAGAAGAAGGACGAGAAGGAGTCGAAGAAGGAAGAGCCCGAAGAGAAGAAGGAAGAGGACGAAGAGGACTCGGGAGAAAAGAGCGTAAGTGACTTTGTGATCTAATCTGAACTCATACAGGCCGGTGCTATCCTACTCTATGATTGTACTGAGCTCCAAATAGTGTACAGGCTGGTAGCATGCTTTCAGGGCTTATATTAACGTTGTGGTAACGCTACATTACTTCGCTTTATTTTTGTTGATATCTAGTTGTTTTCGGAAAGGTTTTGAGATTTTTCGCTGAGTTAGAAGTTTAGATTGTAGTACAGTTTGTTTCTTTGAATGAAATTCAATCAGGTATTCCAATGTACGAAGGTATTTCTTTATTTGGAATCTTTTCTTTCACCTAGAGTTATGGCTGAACAATCGTCATAGCTTAAGCAGCCGGTGAAGTGGTTTGATTTGTCGCCTTGGATGCAAATGCTTTGACCGACGGCAGAGTCGAGTGTTTTATTCCTCCTGATTGACAGAATATGTACACGGCCTTCTATAATAATCTTGTGCGTGTATAACTATGTTCATTTTCTTCCGTCAACAGATGTACACGGCCGACCGTCGCCTCCTGATGGCGTTCTCCTATTTCGACACGTCTCACTGTGGCTACATTGTAGACCGAGATCTGGAGGATATACTGCATACGATCGGGCTGGGCATCAGCCGCGCTCAGGTGAGTTCATAACATACAACGTTTGTAGCGTCCACGGATCACAGTGCCCCCAGTTCATAGCATACACAGATGATACACTCTAAAGTGCTTAAACGGTTACAAATCAGAGTGAGGCTTGGAGGATATACTCAATACGATCGGACTAGGCATAAGTCGCGCTCAGGAGAGTTCATAGCATACAATGTTTATAGTGTCCACGGATCATAGAACCCTCAGTTCATAGCATACACGGATGATACGCTCTTAAGTGTCTAAACGATTGCAATTCAGAGTGAGATCTGGAGCGTATACTGCATACAATGGGACGGGGAATTATCCGTGCTCAGTTGAGGACCATCATGGGAATGAAGAGCGAAATTACTGCTGAAAGGACATAGCATCCATAGTGCATAGCTGACAAATGCTTACCTACTCTTTATATGTTCTGCCAGTGATCATAACTGTCAATCGTTTGTAACATCGACTTTATTATAAGAACTTTGATTCTCGCAGGGCTGAAGTGCCAAAGCTGCACACATTACGCTATTGTTTACCTACGGGACATCTGTCTCGGCTATTTATTGTCATCTTACAAAAACACCACACTAAAACATGCTCTCTCTCTCTCTCTCTCTCTCTCTCTCTCTCTCTCTCTCTCTCTCTCTCTCTCTCTCTCTCTCTCTCTCTCTCTCTCTCTCTCTCTCTCTCTCTCTCTCTCTCTCTCCACTAAAACATACCCCCTCTGCCCCCACAGGGTCGTCGTCTGGTCGCCAAGGTAGCCGAACGCGACTCTGTTCACTACCGCCGTCTCACCGACCGCCCCGTCCCCGAGGGCGGTCTGCCCTCCGAGCGTCCTGACGAACAGCCGAGCGAAGAACAGCTGCTGCCCCTGGCGGGAGGAAACTGGCAGCATCTGCCGACATTTGCTAAGGATAGAAGGATCGGAGAGGGAGGTGGTGGTAACGTGAAGAAGGAAGAAGAGGAGGGAGAGGATGGAGAGGAAGGAAAGGAGAAGAAAGAAGGAGGCGAGGGACCGGGTAAGTCTGATAGGAATGGCACGGATGAGTTGGTGGTGAGGGAGACATGAATAAGTGAAAAGTGAGAGTGCACGACATGAAAGCTGCTTTAGGGGGCGGGGCTGATCTAAAGGTGGGGAACTGGGGAGATCTTGTGAGAGGGTAGAAGGGAGGCTGATTGGAGAGTGGCTCATACAGTCATGGTGGGCAGGTTTGAAACGATCGCTTAGTTATTTTCTTTCAGTCGTGGCCTTTTGACCTTTGATACATTATCTTTTCATAATTGTTGAATATCTAAGCTTCTGAATTAAGAGTATGATCTAAGAGTAAAGAGCATTGATATAATCTGAATTACCCAAAGATCTTTATGATCTACTATCCCGATCGCTAATACGGCTCACTAAAACATGTTGTTGTCCTTATTTGTTCAGTGTCACGCACGCTAACTTCCAATATTGTGCTCCCCTCCCTTCCCGCAGTGATGGTGTTGTTCGAGGGCAGTATGGTGGATCTCTCGTCACTGATGTCACGGGTCCGCCGCTCCGACTCTACACTACAGCTGACCGAGAAACGCATGTCACAGCTGCAGGTCAGTCAGGGAACGACGGGCGGGGGTTCGAGACGCGGTGGCGGCGGCGAACTTTTTTTAGATTGAATTTTATGTACAGTGTACGGTTTCAGGTCTTAGGAAAGGGAAACTGGCTCCCTGAAAACCTTTGATGGTTTCAGCTGCACTTACAATAATATGCCACTCAGACGTATCAAATCCCATTCTATTCTGTCGCAGTAATGGTCTGTGACTGCCAATTTGCATGGAAGTAATCCTCTTGGCTTTATGGCTCAATTTATGCAAAAAAAAAAATATTCACGCCCTTACCTGTACACCTCTCTCTGTATCTGTATCTGTATCTGTATTTTCGAAAGTATATCCAGCCCATATCCAGTCCTTTCCTTCATTTGCCGTATACGTCTGATTTTAACCATAAGACAATACAATGTAGACCCTACAACTATTTATAAGTCTGACTTGGGGAGCCATGGCCGACCAACTCATGACGATTCATCAACACCGCCCTCTTTGTGTGTCTCTCAGGAGGAGGTCCGCTCGGCCCACGAGCGGACGACCAGTCTGCGCTCGGAGGTGAAGACGCTGGATCAGCAGCTGCAGCTGGCCCGCGCCTCGGCCGCCAGTCTGGAGACCCAACTGACCACCAGTCAGGTAAGATACCGCGCCTCGGCTGCTAGTCTGGAGACCCAGCTGGCCACCAGTCAGGTAAGATACCGCCGTGGGGTGGGTAGGGGAGGTGAGGTGGGGGTTGGCTGACGTCATTGCATCACTGTAATGATGAGTCGATGTGTGACGATTGATTACCTTAGACAGTGCCGTTGCGTATGACCTCCAGTGTTTTTTGGAATGTGCAACAAATTATTTTTTTTATTTCTATGTGTTAATTGCGTTGTGTTTCGGCAGATAATCAGTGGCAGCCGTGTCTGCTGACCGTGCGACTGCGCCCATTTGTCACTAACTACGACCTTCTGTGACTCATCCCCATGCATCAACGTCCAACTTCGCATGGTTGCGCCTAATATCGTTTTATTTATCCGCGACTTACACTGACTGTGTGATTATGACCATCACAGCAGTAGATACTTGTTATTACGGAGACTTATAAAATCACGCATTTACCTGTATTAAGTGTTGTTTATTGTATATTTGTGTCTCCCACAGGAGACTGTTGGTAAATACGGCACTGCTCTGGACGCCGTGTACGCGGCGGTGGCGCCTCTGGTGGCAGAAGCTGAAAGTAGAAGTGCTGAACAGCTCCGCGAGGTGGAGACAGCGGCCGATCAGGAGCAAGAAGTGAAGGAGGTGAGGTATAGGATCAGTAGATGACATTCACAAAACACATGTTTGAGGGGTATGAGGCTAAACTGAGACAATTGAGGCTAAACTGGAGGCATGCTCCATCAGCTGAATAGGCTGTAGGCATGAAAAGACCAGATGACTACACCGTTCCGTGCTTCTTTCCTCAGGATACTGAAATCCTTCTCCTCCACGCCGCAACCCCCCTCCGGGCTGGACAGGCAACTTTATCTCATGCGGGCTGCTCCCCCGAGGGAGCGGCACCGCTGCTCCCGAGGGAGCGCACCCCGTAGCCGGGTGCAGTGAGTGCCTTGGGGCTGGGTGGCCTGTCCTCTGGACGGGCTCAGCCCCGGCGACTCACTAGGGTGCCTGCCCAGACCAATGTCTCCCCCTAATTCCTATCATCCTTCCGGCTCTGCAATGGTCTTGTCAGACCGAAAGGGCCTAACCCAACAAAACAAAACCAGATGACTACCGCATCTAAACTGGACTTCATGTTAGAATTGAATTGTCTCTTTTTTCTGGTGAATGCGATTTTGACTGGTTGACCTTCCCGTTAGCCTGTCTCTGTTGCTTACCGCCAAGTATATGTGTAGAATGACACGGATTCTCTTTAATCAAATGTGTCGTTTGTTTCCAGGAGACGTGTGAAGTTATGGACACTGAACAAGACGGCACTGAGGCAAAGGAAGAGGAGAACGAAGAGAAGCCCGCAAAGGAAGAGAAGAGTGCCAAGGAGGAGAAATCCGCCAAGGAGGAGACACCTACAAAGGATGAGAAATCCGCCAAGGAGGAGAAAATCACCAAGGAGTCTCGAGGAGCCAAGGCTGCTGAGGGAAAGAGCGACAAAAATGCCAAGGGTGATGCAGATGACAAGACGAAGGAGGCAGCGCCGGAGCCGAAAGTCGCCAAAGAAACGCCGTCCAAAACGCCGAAACGAACCCGCTCGTCGGCAGCCAGTGACGCTGCGGCCAAAAAAGCCAAGGTGGAGAACGGATCCTCCGCCTAAAACCTTGGCTCTATCGATAAGGTGGATGGATTTTCTGCCCAGGAGAGCGAATCAACCGCCCAACACCTCATATTTTTCGGTATGTGGACAGATAAACATCTAAAACACCGTCACCATGTCTCGGCCAGACCATAAGATGGTGTTTTTTTTTTTCATTTAACACTGAGTCTGGAATCCTCGCATACATTGCGTAGGTCCAATTGCGAAAAGAATGCATTGTGTGAGCTAGCGTGAAAGCCCTGCGTTTGCAGCGTGCGTGCGGCGCGTGTGGGTTTGCATACGACGTGCGTTCTATGTCTTTATGCGTGCGTGTGTGCGTTTGAATTTTAGTTTTTGTGTATCGCTAGGGTTAAGTCCTGCCGTCAAACTGAGGGTCAAAACATGAAGCCTAAAGCCTGGATGCCCTGTACCCAAGAGGCCGACATAACAAAACCAGTGAAACCTGTTTGGATTTGGCTGTCAAAGTTTAGAGGACCGACGCGGTTCGTTAGCCTTTGTAAGCTTCGTTCTGAAAGTTTGTCTCTAGAAGGCTTTGTCATGTCTTTTTGCCTTTGAAAGTCTGGGCCGTACTTCATTGTATCATCGGATGTCACACACTGTAAGTGACGTCACATGAAGGACGTCATACCGTGGTCATGTAACAGTGGGAAGGGCGTCGTTCATCACAAGTAACGTCGCGTCGGTGGTTGTGACGTCACACAGCGTCATTTACGTCATACTTGCGGGGATATATCACGAATCGACAGTGGCGATGTCATATGGTAACAATGACGTCATGTAGCTGCGATGACGTCAAATATGAACAATGACGCCACGTCATAGTGTCCATTCGGCCCGACCCCCTGGGCCGTACGCAGGCAGACCTCTGTAATTGTATTCACCACTGCAGTTGAGCGGCGCGATTTTTGGATTACCGACATGTACTTGGGATGAATAAAGAAATAAGTTTTAATGAGAGCTCTGGCCTTGGGCTCACAGCTGTTTGTAGTGAGACGTAAGGACTCGACGCATAAGCTACGATCGAACGATATGTGCCCAGTTATTATCACAGTCATTCATTCGCCTGTCTGTCTGTCTGTCTGTCTGTCTGTCTGCCTGCCTGCCTGCCGGCTGCCTGTCTGTCTCTGTCTGTCTCCGTCTCTATCTATCTCTGCCTCTGTCTGTTTCAGTTCCGTATCCGTCTCGGCCGTCCCGTCTCTTTGTATTCACTCTCCAGCGTGACGATCCTCCGTCCTCCCTTCCCCTCCCCCCCCCCCGGCCACGTGACGCCTGACCCAGTCGACCGGTCAAGGTCACTGGCCGCGCCCGAGGCGCTTACTGGTGGACATAGGTTACAACGATACAGCCTCTGACATCGACTACACAGCAGCGGCGGCGACCGAACCCTGGTATCGCTACAGGACCAATGAGTGGTCCGTGACCCCACTGTGTGGCTTGCCTGACACCGCCTTTGCGCTTGAATGGGCTTGACGGTATGTGAGCGCCCCACCGCTAGCGCCTGACGTCGCCCCTGAGGCTGGGTGACCGCGTGCTCAACGGAGTAGGTACATGTGTGTACCTATTCGTATTGTTTAATGCCATGCAGCCATTCACTTCTCCCCTCCCCGTCTAGTCCTATCGCTATCGCGCTCAGACTCTACGCAATACGAGCCGGGTCCGACCCTCCACGGGCGGTAGCCGTTTCATGGGTGGGGAAGCGGCCCGTCTGTCGGGACGGAGCCCCACCGCGCGCATCGCACCCCTCCCCCTACATATCTCGGGCACCGATGGTCCCTCATAAGTCTTTCCGCGCCGCCGGCATGGGAAAGTTACGCATAGCCAAGGCCACGCTTAGCCGCAGGCGCCCTTTGTTTGCTTTCCTCAACATGAAGCGGAAACGGGGAAAGGGCGCGCAACTGGCGATAGAGGCGCCACCTGTCGGCTATCCTACCAACGACCGCTAGTAGAAAATAGTTGGGGTAAACGTGGCTTCTGACTAACTAATTCCAATGGACCCTTTGGTGAGGGCTCGAATTTCTGAATAAATTTAAACGTGGACTATTAAAAGAGCTCATGGCCCGTTTTAAACGCCATTGTTATCCTTGAACACCTTCATTACTTTATGTGACGTCATATTACCTTTTATATATTTTCGACTAATGTTCAAGTCCAAGTTGATTTCCAATTCCTAAACCTTGATGACGGCGTCGCGGCGTGGTTCCATTGTTTGTCACCGAATTTGAATTTTTGCTGTCGGCATTTGTAATTTGGGTGAGTTACGTGTTACTTTTTGCAGAAAATTACCATTGCTTATTTCTTTGTAACATTTGTACACTCGTAGGTATCATGCCTCTTCATTTTGTATTCTTCGTCGATTGTTTCGAAAACGGCGACGAATCTGGCGCGCTAACCGTTAACGGTTTTTTTTAATTTTTCAAAGTTTAAAGTTTTTACCAATAATTAAACATTTATTGTGCATCAGCAATCAACCCTTATGTGTTTCCTTTCAGACAATGGATTCACAGAAGTTCTGCTTGAAGTGGGATGGCTTCCAAGGCAGCGTCACCTCCGTGTTTGATCACCTGAGGGCGGACTCGGAACTGGTGGATGTCACGCTCTGCTGCGAGGGACAGCGGGTGCGAGCCCACAGGATGATGCTCTCGGCCTGCAGCCCTTACTTCAGGGAGCTGTTCAAGGTGAGTTGGTGCTGCATCATGGTGTCTGCTAGTGGTTTTAATTTATATTGTGTTTATTAAATCTTCATTTCAATTATTTATTTGAATTCTTGCTCCTTACTTTATTTTATTTCTATTCAAATTGATTTATTTTATTAAATTCATACATAGTCATATTTTTTGCTAGGTTGGCTTGACAACATTTTCTCTTGATATAAATCCTGGTAAAAGATGTGTGGTGATAGGGTCAATTTGAATGTGCCATTTATTCATCCAATTTATTTATTGTTGCACTGAAATGAGCTTTGTCAATTGCTGATGAAGATGATTCCTTTTTTCTAAAGATTGTGATGTGCAATGTCCTTTTTCAACCCCAGTAGCCAAAAAAAGATTAATACAGCTCTACTGATTGAACCAGTTTTGCAGTATATTGTTAAATGTCATTTTCAATGTAATCAAAATCAATTCAATATTGTAATTGGGCCCAACAATTAAAATCTTAGAACAAAATCAATGCAACCATATTTTAGAGATTCCAGAGTACATGAAATATTAAGCTTCATTGCAACTTTTCTCACAAACTACCGACTATAAAAAGCAATGGTATCTCCTAGCTGGCATGTCAATTTATCTACACTGTGAAGTGTGAACAGTCTCATCAAGTCATCACCCCCTTCCAACCCCCCACCCCCCAATCAAAATTAATTCAAGATTGTAATTGGGCCCAACAATGGGCCCTCACCCCCCCCACCCCACACACAGACACACAGCAAACCAGGGCTGCGGAGTCGGAGTCGGAGTCGGAGTCGGAGTCGGTCGGAGTCGACAGTTGTGACCGGAGTCGGAGTCGGAGTCGGAGTCGATTTTAGAAACCCGAGCCGGAGTCGGAGTCGGAGTCACCGAAAATCTGTCGACTCCGCAGCCCTGCTAGGTCTGCGGAGTCGGAGTCGGGAGTTGGAGTCGGTCGGAGTCGACAATTCTGCCCGGAGTCGGAGTCGGAGTCGGAGCTGGTTTTTGAAAGCCGGAGTCGGAGTCGGAGTCGGAGTCGCCGAAAATCCATCGACTCCGCAGCCCTGCAGCAAACAACAAACAACTAAAATATTTCTCCCTCCATCTCTCCTCCAGGATCTGTCATGCCAACAACTGGTCATCTTTCTCAAAGACACCTCAGCTGCCGATCTCACTGCAATAGTGGAGTTCATGTACAAGGGCAAGGTGAACGTGTCACAGGGTCAGCTGGCCAGCTTCATCAAGACGGCAGAGATGCTGCAGGTTCAGGGTCTCAGCGGTGGTGATGATAAGGTGAGGAAGATGATGGTGACCATGTTGTTGATGATTATGATAGTGATGATGATGGAAGGAATGAAGGGGACATGGATTATTTGATACAGGCAGGATGTTAGCATTAGCCTTTGTCGAGCATTGTAGTCTTCGTTATGCACTATGCAGTGGCAAATCTTATTCCCATATATATGCAACAAGGTGCATTGTGCGTTCATATGAGATGGTAAGGGTTCAGTAACATGCTTTTCCCATAAAAAACGCTGTTTGGGAAATATTTTGATCCTGGCTGCTGAATGCGGTAACACCTCTAAAATGGTGAAAATATACACTTGTCTCTCATTGTATAGCACTAGGATGTGCCAAGTTGACCACATCTAAGTACCACTTTTGACCCCGTCTCCCCTCTCCACAGGACCCGCCGCCCTCGCCCGCCCCTCCCCCACCCCCGCCACCGGAACCAGCCCGCGCCTGGAGCCAGCAGCAACCCCAGAGCCCCGCCGCCCTACGCCGTGCCACCGACACTGCATCGCCGTCCGAGCCTCGTCTCAAGCGGCGCCGGTCCGACCTGCCTCCGCCGCCGCCTATTGAGAAGAAGCCACCGACGCCCCAGCCGCAGCCGCAGGCGCCTCAGCCGGGCCCGGCGGCGGCGGTGGGGACTCCGGCGGCAGGGCAGGTCGGAGTACAGCCCCCTCCGGAGGAGGAGACGGCTAGGGACCAGCCGGCGGGCATGTTTGAGGTGAGTGGAAATGTGTGCTGGAGATGAGTTGTAGATGAACTGTTGTATTCCGCCCCGTCTTATATGAATGATAGTGAATTGTGCAACTTGAATGATGATGAGTTTGAAATGTGCCAGAAAATAACTGCATTTTCATTGTCCTTTGTTATTTTACTTCGCATGAATTGTAGTGTTCAGTGTTATCCTTCGCCCCAGGGGGGGGGGAGGGGGCATATGTTACCACCCTGTCGCGTTTTTTGCGTGTACATAAAAAACCGCGGCGCTACGCTATAGCTTTTAAACCGCCGCTTGGGGTAGCTTTTGGTACATCAATTTTGGACAATATGTGAAATTTTTGACCCCAGGTCATGTCAGGTCAGGTCACCAGGTCAAGTTAACTGACCAAGCCTAAAAAAGTTTGCAATCATGTCCAGCCTGCAGAGTTTGTCAGAAAGGTTTTAAACTTGGTGGATTACATGCTGTCATGGGCGCCTACAATTTGTATATCTCGGATTTTTTATATCCGTGACCTAAGGTCAGGTCAGTGGCATGACCTTTCCATTACAAGTCAATGGAGAAAAATGAAAATGCCTCTAGATCCGTGTGTACGCTTAGGAACAGTCCAAATATTTCAGAATCACAATGATTTAGTCCACTCGTTATGACCAAGGTGCCATTTTTTCTGATAGCCTCTAGACAGGTCATCCGAGGTCACTTGAGGCTACAAACAGTTTTTTGCCAATAACTCGCGATTGGAAAGAGATAGAACGCTGGGGATGATCTCATTGTGTTTGTCTTGTTGAGACGCATCGACTGATATGCAACATGACCTTTTCCGGTCAGGTCATGACCTTGACCTGAGGTCAAATTTTCAAGTTGACCTTTCAAGGTCAAATTATAGTTCATTCGACGCGTCTCGGCGAGGGGAACACGATTCTGGCAATAGAAATGTGGCTTTTTGTAGTCGAAAGTTATTGTCGAAAAACACTTTTCGTAAAAACAGCTATTTTTGGAGTTTTTGCCCTCTGGAGGCTAAACCATTGACCTGAGGTCAATATTGAATATTACCTTTTCAAAAGAAGAGTTTAAAAGCTATCGTTTGCTCTTCCATGCGTTTTTCTAGCTACCATAGTTCCTGAGATAGCTGCATGTTTTCTTAAAAATATAGTGACAATTGGCAAATTTTTACCTTTGATGACCTCTGGTGACCCCAATATTGCTCTAAGGTGAAAAATAACTGAAATACTTTCAAACGTACGCATTGAGAGCTATCGACTGCTTTTTACCGCGTCTTTCTAGCCCTATTAGTTTTTGAGTTACAGGTGGGTGGTAACATATGCCCCTCCCCCCACTAGGGCGAAGTTGGCTGAGACCGCCTCTGGGGCGCGGGTTATTTGATGAAAAACCGTGACGTTCTAAAATTGACATACCTGCCCCACCATGTGTCCTTTTTAGTGCTGTTTTGTTGTAACTCTTTGTCCAGAATCTTAGTCCAGCTATTGAGCAGTTCGAATTAATTGAGCCCAATTATGGGCGCAGAATGACCCTTGTAGTCAGCGCGCCCTAAGCCCCAACAAACAAACAACAGAATTGGTCGAGCCCGCGTTATCCAGAATCTCAGGCACTGTAACTTATCACCGTTTGCCGTCAACCTCCACCATTCTCACCCTCCCTCCCTCCCCAACCACAGGGCGCGGTCAAGGTCGAAAAGTTCGACGTCGATCTCACGCTAGATGACGATGAAGACACGACTGGTGCCGGTGACGAGCTGGAAGCCGCTCTGGGCAATGTAGCACAGTATGAAGGCTATGACCCGGGCTCCGATCAGTCGCTGAGTGCGGATGGACACATGTTTGGAGCTGGAGGCAGCGGCGAGGGGTCCATGGGAGGTGCAGGTGAGATGTGATTTATTGCATTGCATTAAACATTCGTTAGAGTATCCGCGTGAGATACTAATAATGTGTCGAGAATGAACGGAGATAGAGTGCCCTTGAGCACTTTGTACTTTTTTTGTTTGGAAGGAGGCGCTGTTCTTATTGTGCGTTAAAGCGCTTTGCGGCATTTCCATGCACGTGTTTTTGGTCATTACAGATATATGGGAGTAAGTGTTCCTGTCTTGATAGTTTTGAGAGCAATGCTCAGTGCAACTACTCCCACTCTGGGCACGGCCCTTCTCTGTCTCCCTCTCCCTCCCTCCCTCCCTCCCTCCCTCCCTCCCTCCCTCTCTCTCTCTCTCTCTCTCTCTCTCTCCTCTCTCCTTCCCTCTCTCCCTCTCTCTCTCCCTCTCTCTCTCTCCCTCTCCACTCTCTCCCCGTCTCTCTCTAACCCCCACCCCCTTTCTCCACAGCCGGCGGACCGTACACTCCGGGCACCTCACAGCGCGCTGGGGAGGACGGGTCACAAGGTGCGTTCTACTTTACTATTATATCGTGCCCGGACACGGCTGGCGGGGTGGGTCATACATGGAAGGACCGGAGCCTGGCGCCAGAGAGAGCAGAGAGGAGGGGAGTAGTGGGGTATGGTAGAGAGGGTATGAGAGGGGAGTAGGGGAAGTGTAGGAAGGGGGTAGTGTAGGGTAGTAGTGTATAGGGTAGCATATGGATGGACCGGAGCTTGGCGCCATAGAGAGCAGAGAGAGGATAGGAAGAGGATGGGAGTAGTGGGGAATGGTAGAGAGGGTGTGAGAGGAGAGTAGGGGAAGGGTAGGAAGGGGGTAGTTTGGGGTAGGATAGCACATGGATGGACGGGAGCCTGGCGGCAGAGACAGTAGAGGAGAGGAATGGAGTAGTGGGGGTGGTAGAGAGGGTGTGAGAGGAGAGTAGGGAAGGGTAGGAAGGGGGTAGTGTAGGGTAGGATAAAGGGTAACAGACGCTGTGGGTCATGCATGGAAGGACCGGTGCCTGGCGCCAGAGAGAGCAGAGAGGAGATAGGAAGAGGATGGGAGTAGTGGGGATGGCGGAGGGGGTATGAGAGGAGAGTAGGGGACGAGGAGGGTTAGATAAGATGCAAAGGGATGGGATGTAATGAGAGTGACGGATAGCAGTTAGAAGAGTGAAAAAAGCAGGAAAATGATAGAGAGTAGAATATAGGAGGAAAATATTTTGAAGAGATAATGACGGTAGATGATTGAGTAGGAGGGGTGGGATAACGCGAGGGCGCGGAAGTGCCGGGGAGAGGGTTGTAGGTGAAGGGAGCTGGAAGAGTTAGAGTTGAGCTAGAGAGGGAGAGGGGAGGGAATGTGGATGCGATGAGAGAGAGGGGCCCGTGAGTGGGAGGACATGAAGAAGGGGGGGGGGGATAGGCGTGGATAGGCGCTGGAGGGACGCGTGGCGAGGGGACAGTCCCCGAGGAGAGAGGAGCATATTGGGACTGCGGCAGGTCGAGACCTTTGGCAGAGTATGGGAGCATTGCGAGCAAGGGATGGTAGGGTCAGATCGCGCAGAGAGGGGCTGAAGAGCAGGTGAGGGGTGGAAAAGTCAGACCCGTAAGAAAACGTATTTATTGGATGGGCTTCAACGTAACGTTTTGAAGTCAAGTGTTTCAACAAAAACGGGTTATTTGTTTATATTATCGACCATGAAGTCTTGCGGAGTATCAACTTACAAATAAATTGGTAGATGGGCCCATACACCGTAACACTGAGGATAGCTCAGTAGAATGATAACAGTTTTTGAGTATTGTGGCCGGGGAATAATAACTTTCCAGCCCCTTTTTAAAGGGACCCTCCCACCTTAAAAAAAGTTAATGAATTGGCATGAAAGTGATGTCCCTTGGTTCAGAAAGAGCGGAAACGAATATATACCAAATTTCACCGAAAAATATTCACTGGTTTTCAAGATATTAGGCTTTTACTTTTGTTTACTTTTTGGGATCTCCCTGTTACTAGCGACTTTATTTGGAAGCAATAATTTGGCAGCCTTAATGTGCGGCAGACGTTGCGCGCAAAGCAGCGTATACCACCACGTGTCAACGATGGTTTTAGTCTAAGATTTAAAAATCGTTAGATCTCCGCTGACGTCACAAATTCTAAGGGGGCATACCAATGCATTAGCCCCTTAGAATCCGAAAACTGCAAGTTTGAAATTCCATATCTTCGAATTAAAGCATTTCTCGATGTTGTGAGTGCCCAAACCGGTATTTGCAGGCCATGGCCACCAATTTGGCTATCTCAACTCAAAACTAATGTTAAGGAAGGAGGGTCCCTTTAATTACAGTGAGACACCTTTTCAATGCATCATCTTGCTCAAAATTTATCTTACCATTTTGTTGCGAAGGTTCGAGTCATACCATCCCACTCTAGCCAGGTAGCTCAAGGTAGCCTCCACACTAGCCACGCCGCCATCCAAACAAGCATTCTATAGGTTAGCCTCGCCGGAGGGTACCATTAACTCCCCTGGGATGGTAGTGTAGGACCTCTTTGAGCGCCAGGCGTTTCCGGTTACGGTGTGACCCCCCGTCGTCGTGTCCGGGCTGAACAGTGGAGGTGACATGAAACACGAGGCGATTTGATGCTACTCCCTCTTATTATAGTCCGGCAAACGTGAGATAAAGTAGAGTTGAAGTTGAATAAGATAGAATGAAGTGCCCTGAATAATTTTGCACGTCTTTCGATTATAGCAGATTCATCCAAAGATTAAGCTTGTCGGACTGAACACACGAGGGAAATGTTTGTAGGGGAATTATGTTTGTGGGCACGTGAATTGATAACTGTTACGGTTCATATTTGTGTTTACTCACGTTTGTCGGACTATTCCCGGCTGAGACGGCGTTCTAAAATCATCAAAATCATGTTTACTTAATAGCTTAGTAAATTTTTATGTTAAAAGCTATAAGTGCTAAATGCACTTGAACCATATCAAAAATTTATCATAGGGTCGTGATCAGTTCATTAAATTTTCTTTTAAACTTGATTTTTATTTGATTTAAACTTGATTTTATTTTAAACAGCTTTACTGTTTTGAGTTAGCGTCTTCCCAGCTTTAAAGTGTAAAGTAATTGGTAAGGTAATGCGTACGTCAGTTTCCAAATAGAGTACGCACTTGCTTTTCTCCCCATGTAATAAAGTTTTGGAGAGTCGGGCTCTGCGACTTCTAACTGGTCAACTTTAGTCTAGCGAAGCTAGAATGAATTTCCTGAGTGGCAAATATTTCACAACATAATTGGTTATCAGAAATATCACCAAAGGATGTCCCCACCCATGCCGTTTTTTTGTACTATTACTCTTCAGATTATCGTTATTCGTTACCAATCTTTTGCATCGAAGATGCATTTTCTGTTCGATTATCCGAAATTTATGCAAATTTTGAGCAAATTTGGTTTCTTGATCAAGATGTCAGTTTTACTTTCGTCCAAATTTAGTTCGAAGGGGTCATCCGTTATACAGCAATCAGCATGATTTCAAGCTGTTTTGAATTTGGTCAAAGACAATTCAGCAACAATAGAAACATTTACAGTTGCTTGAATTTGGAAGCTCCATACTTTCTCGAACTTGTTTCGGTCTTTTTCAAGTTCTAGTACTTTGCACTTATATTTCATAATAATGCGCCTCATTTGTAAGCTAATATTAAGTTCGTTCTGTTTAACAATTCGTTAAAAGGCAGATAGACCCTGAATTATTTTTGTACCAATGCTTATGAGGTAATTTTTCGCGCTTATTTCACTTGGTGCTTTATTTCTCCGGAATAGAGCCCGACCTCCCCCGCCACTCTTGTCAGAATGGACTTGCCCGTGAAATGTCACCTCCACTGTTTCCATGGTTACGTTGTTGTGTTCTGCGCAGAGACGGTGTAGATGCGATAATTTACACCCTCTCCGCGCAGTATGACTATGCACGCTATGTCATGTGTTGTGTAATGTGTATGTTTGTATTTTGAATTTTCACGCATAAACACACGTTTATTTATGAAAGCTCCCTCGATTCCCAATCCCATTAGGTTGAGGTCTTAATTTTCTATTTGTTTAGTTTTTGTGGCTATAGTGCTGTCATTGCGGGGATTTTTACGTAGGCTAACTACTGCATGCTGTATTTTAATTTTAAAATATTCTTCGATTGAGAGACTTATTTAACCCGCGCCCCGTAGGGGGGGGGGGCCGAAACGGCCCCTCCCTGTCCTTTTCGGTCGATATCTCCTAAACGGCTGGAGATATCGCCACCAAACTTTCAGGACCCCTCCGGGCATCAATTTTACACATTGTGACCAAAAATTTTTCCAGAGGCTATGATAGGTTGGCCACAAATGACGTCAGAGTGACGTCATGTTCTGTCATTTTCGACCGAAAAAAGACCTTCGCGAGAAGACCTGTCAGGACTACAGCTTTGAAGATACAGAAAAATGATCGAGACATAAAAGGTGTAGAATTGACAGGGCTACAAAACTGCTATCTCGAATTTTTGAAATTTTTGAGTTTTGACCCCCAAAAATCAAAAAAGCATTTTTTGGATATATTCGCCAAAAAATCCGAAAAGTTTTTTGAGTTTCGAAAAAACCGGAATATATGTGATAGTGCCTACCGTCTTCTATCTACATACCAAATTTCAGATCGATACCTCGTTTTTTGGCCAAGTTATAGCGAAAAAACTGTTCAAAAATGATGACGCCAAATTTTCAAACTCAATTTTTGGCAATTCTAGAACTCGTAGAGCAAAACGAAGACCACCATTAGACTCCCCGTGACGAGCTGCATCGAATCAATACCCATTTTATGCAAAAATATCAACTTTGAAATTTGACCTAATTTGACCTGACCTTGACCTGACCTTCACAAAAACGTGACCTAGGCTGGCCCCAAAGGCTGCCTAACCCACATAATCGCATTTGTCATGTAAAATGGACCATAAAACATGTATCACACGACACATTCATATTGTGACCCCCGGTGACCTGACCTCGCTGTGACCTGACCTGGTATCAGTGACCTCAGATAGCAAAGTATGTGTTTGACGAACAATGTACCATCGATGGTTTTCAATAAATTACCAATTTACTCGCTTTCACAGCACATTTCTTGAATTGCCTGTGAACGGTGAAAATCTGACCTTTGACCTGACCTGTGACGTCATCGGTTTGACCTAGGTCAATGAAATTTGGTCACAAAGTAGTTCCCGGGTGGGGCTATCGAACGCCGTTTGAATTTTGAAAATCGGCCGGTAACTTTCCGAGATCTTAGGGGGGGGCCGAAACGGCCCCCCCCCTACGGGTGGTAGGGTCCGCCGGTAGCCCTACGGGGCGCGGGTTAATTAATTTAAGGTTTAAATCAATTATATGGATAACTATTTCATGGAATGTGACATTTCAAATTTGAGCAGTATTTGTGCTGATACACTTTTATCATGTGACTCTTTGGTCATTGATACACAAGTTATGGTTTCTTATAATATAATCTTATAAGAGATATCGTAATTTT